CTGTACATACAGCTACGCAGATTGGTTCTCAGAAGAATTTGTATTACCACAAAAAACTACCTAGCAAAGATCAGTTGCCATCCTTAGGAAAACCGATAACGGTAACTGCGATTAAATACCAAAGACTATGCTACTTTAAATTATGCTTGTGACCTTTAAATAAAGCTAGCTGTATGTTGAAAACAGTCACGGGTTGAGAACTTTCTATTACACATGCGTAACCTTTTATCTGCTGATTCTTTACGTACAGGAAATTACTTACCGGTCAGTGGTCGCAGCGTGACAACCACCAGGAAATCCTCCAGACGATGTAATTCCTCAACTTCAACCGATAAATACCGGCTTTGGATTATGGGTACAATGAGCCTTAAGAAAAACTGCCGGCAAACGCGTATCCTCCAAGTCTCTCACAGCCAACACACTGATCCACACTGGATCGCTGCAGGATCCCGCTATATATACGCGCTGTACTGCCTCGTCGCCCCGCCCCCATCCCAGCTGATGACGTCGAAGCCCCGCGCCAACTGTAAAAGTGACATCAATCCCGATTTATCAATAGTGTCCCTTAAGGGCATTCAATTCCTCTTTCAAGGCCAATCTGGCCCTGATGCTCCCAGCACCCTGGCTCCGATCTCTGTATGCGCTCCCAATCAGAGCTGACGACCATATTGAGCTAATAGTGTAGTCCGTCAAATGAGTCGTAAATTGTATGGTGGCGACACATTGCCGGCGTTTGTCTTTGGACATGATGCGTCGCGATGCGCTCATTGCTGCTATCGGTCTTATGCGGATCATCATGCCGGCAGCGTGTGCCTTATTTTAATTACAATACTTCGTTTAAATTTCCATTGACACCCATCAACTTCCGCCTGTAATGAAGCTATGAATGCCGGCATCACGCTGCATATGCTCCGGGATGTGGCTCCGGTGCGGGATGCAGATGGAGAAGGGCACTCAGCGTGTCTTTTCAAGAGGGGAATCTTCATGCCGGCCTATTCCGGCTAAGAGTTAATTATCAGGGTCAAATAGATGTTATCCTTGAATTAAGGAGTGTCACTCTCAACAAGCTTCGTCGACAGTTCTCTACTGCCGGACTCGGTTTTACGTATAGGGCCTGTTATGGTATTTTCCAAAACGCTTATATTTGTTAAACTGCTTCCGTTACAGAAAGAAATGTATTTGTAAATTTCGAAGCAAATTTGCCGCCGTCAAACGGGAAACGGTGAATTAGTCGATGAAACCTACAGTCGTAAATCTTAACAAGTTGCACGGTATCGAGTATTACGTGCTCCAGCAGACTGCTTAGGTGAGTTAGGTCTAATAACTGAAACAACTACAGGAGCTGTATAACAATCCAGATTTCTGTAGTTACTGTATATTGTTGTTTTAATAAATACAACCATGCCGATACTGGTTGCAAATAGACTCGCATCGTAAAGCTAGGTATAATTTCTACATGTTGATACGAACTACAGTACTTACAGTTGTTTGACTACAGAGTACAGAGTACGTCTATATACAGAGTACGTAGTGTAGTAACACAAAACGGTGAAGCGCACCATAATATACTGCCGCTTTCCCAAAATGCTCATATTACGGTATACGGCTTAAATTTGATGTTGTAAAAATTGTTAACAGCGTGGAACAGACTTTTACGCTGTCACTATTGGTCTAATGGGCTTTTAGCGATTCTGCACCTTTTACATGCTCTTTAAATTAATATTTTCGTTTTGCGGTTTTTTGATGGTTTGGTTCTGTTAGCACTGGTTTAGCTCTAAATCATGAATTTTTGAACCCCGCCATTGTCCATGTTGTTATACAACAGATATTTCTGTAATCTGAAGTGAAAGAAACGGAACAAGAAAAAATTCTTAGCTTTGGGGAAATTCCATTCTGACGATAATTCAGTTAGAGAAATTAGAACTACGACCAGGGTTTTTAATATGACATGCTAGTTTATTTTAGATGGATCTTGATTACAGATATACAGAGTACATCAAATTTTAAGCTAAGCCGGCTGCACTTCATACTATTTTGCAGCATCAAGGGTAGTAGCTAAAAGACTGTATCAATAATACTAAACAGCAAAAACCGCCTTTTCGATCGGAAAATACTTGTGCTTTGTTGCAACGAGTGTTTGTCGCCCCAGTAAAAAGGTCAATCTTATTATAAATTAATTATCAAACACTCAACCGAGTTCATCCTCTCTGCATTGTCGCCTCATGTTTGATATAGTGGTCCTGTGGCCTGCATAGAGCAATTCTCGCCTATTTTATATCGATTATCTTTTAATAAATAAATATGATCTCAACCCGGAATGGTCTTTTCTAAGAGCCACAACAGCACGCACACAGCTTTTCACCCAGCCGGGCAGCCAAATCAATAATCTGCACGACAAACATAAAAAGCGCAACCGTGTGCTGATTGTGCATTTAGCGCTGTGCACCGACATTTTTTTCTCCCTTTCAGAACACAGCCCGCTCCTACAAAAGCAGTATGACGTCGGCGCCTACTAATTATATGCGAATCAAGGCGCATGTGAAAAACACTGGCCGGCGCGCTAATGAATCAATTCGGCAAGCAAACACGCCCCGAAAGGTCACCGCCCAGCTGAGCGTACAATGGACGCGTGTGTGTATGTGTGTGTCAATTACTGTTTGAGAAAAAGTAGCCAGCACTAAGTGTTCCCATACAGGCATTTCGATTTACACTCGCACCCCATGGAGCCTCGAATAAGGTACACACGCACATCGTACTAAGTGGCCTTTTACATGCTGATTACATTGCAGCGCTCCAAAGACACATAGTCTCCATTCAATCCGTCCATCACGATTATGTTTAGACCATTCATTGGGAGCTTCTGTTTCATTTTCCAGGCTATTCATCATTCGTCTTATCTGATTTAAACCCGTATGTTGCCAACTGTCGTGATGTGCCGGTTTAATTGCAGGAATGACGTTTTCGCATATACATAACGTAACTGTATTGTACAGGGGTTGGGGTAGTGAGTTGTGCCCTACGCTAGGTGGGCCAACGCACTCGGCCACAGCGACACGTAGTATTTCCGGTACTGGGGAATGTTTCTTCCGGTTTGGCGATAATGTTGCGGTGCGGGGCTTAGCACGCGAACGGCGCCCCGGAACGATTGCATGCGGGACTGGGAATATGCGTTTTACACTTAATGCCGGATATTTACGATAAACTCCGTTGCTCTTAATATTTTCAATAGAGGTTTCTTAGTGCTCTTAACATTTCTTCGGAAGTTTCGTAGCCGACTCGAATTTCTTAGGTAAATTTAAGATCGTAATAGGCTATAATGATAACCGGTGGTGGAGTAGGTAAGTAAGCAAATTTCCTCCATAACATGCGAAAAAGTAGGATACTCAAGTAAAACAAGAAAAGACCCTCGGAACGCGCTAAAAATAAGCTATCTATGGCTAAAGGTTAACATGAATCATTTGAGCAGGTTGCCGGCGTAAAAACATTCCATGTTTCCGTAAAACACTGACGTTTGCAGACCACCTGGACTTTCACGTTGACACAAAACCGTTTCCATCTGGATAAATTAGCGTATGCCGGCGTAAGGCGACAGAAGGACACAAGATGCCATTGCTTTTTTAGCAGCGTATTGCGCACGCAAAGAGCCAGTAATTTCAGCCGGATGCCGGGACAACGATTTGAAAACGCGGCGAACGTTACAAGCATTTTATTCAAATCAAAGCAAGGTGCCAATACATTCACACACCTAGGTCGGAAAGGATAATACACTTAGACTAAGTAAAAGGCAAACACCTATTCCAACTAAAACAACTATAAGTTCGGCAAACAAGCGATACAATGCGTAGTTGAGTGGTCCATATTGCTCATCTAAATCTGGGATGTTGAACGACAGCTTGTATCATAGCAGTTCAGTTGCTGTTCCCCAGCAGACTTCCTCGAACCATAATAATTTTTCCTAGCTCGACCCAGCAGAATTAAATTCGATCTTATAGAAAACGCTGGGATATTTCGATCGCTCGAGCTCGGCTTCTATGCAGCGCCTGTAACAGTTGAGCTATGTCTGCGGGTGCGGGAAAAGCAAATTTTACAGACTGACCAGAAGATAAATGCCTAAAAGAATACATTAAATAAAAGTTACTAAAAATAAATTGTATACGAGGTACTACTCGTAGACCGTGTAGACTATCAGCCTACGAGCCTATGTTAAAACTTCCTTTGAACATACGCATTGATAATCCTCCTGAGAATACACTATACGTACACACAGTCTTTGCATTCCAAAATAGGACTGTTAAAAGTATAAAAAAACCGATGAATTAAACTGGAATAAAACTTTTAAATCGGGATAAAGCATGGCTAGTTTATTTAGCGGGTAGTAATACTTCTGCATGCACAAATGCAAACGCGATACAAATTCAGGGAAATTTGTGTAATATACACTCTGCACATAGAGTGAACGAAACGTAAGAAATATGTTTGTCCATTTAATTAATTTAGCCATAACACAGCACCAAATCAGTGAAAAACCCTATAATTGTTTTAGAATTTTTAAAACGATATAGAGCCTGTAGACGTCAGTAGTGATCGCTTAATTTGTAGTCTTATTTTCCCATCCCCCTTATTTATAGCACGTTTAAACTGCCCAGAACACATATGATCTTTCGATTAATACAAGTCATATCTGTCACCACCCATGCGTAACTGAAGTACACAAGGCAAATTATAATCATTATTATTTTAGACTGTAATCATTCTTGAATAAGCGTACTGCGCAAAAGACGATCACCCCACTAGTGTGTAACGGTTTGCATGAATATCGACCATGTCCAGATAGTACGTGGTTTGATGATTGTCCTCTTAAACAAATAATTTAAGAAATCGCTTATATCGCAACAAAGCATTAATCACTACCGAACTGATAACATACCGGACTGCAAAACATGCGCGCAGATGCCGATGTACTGTACCAACTACATGTACATTTTGAGAGAAATGAGAATCCATAGCCAGAATTGTCGCTATGCGTTTGTCGGAACCAAATCGAAACGACTATATAGTGTTTTATATGGCCGTTCAATATTACTAACTGATCAGTTTTTAGAATATCCAGCAGTGTCTCTCAAATTTTATATCAAGATTTTACAAAAATGGGGAAACATGATCATTATGATTATTTATTTAAAGGTACGTAAGTACTGTCTGAAAAAGCAATTCTAGATCTGCCCATCTGTTAAAAATTACTCGTAGTTTGTGCAGGTGCGCTATGTTGGCGTACCGCGTATTAAAAGCCATAGGTTAGATATTATACTCGAATAATACTTGTTATTACACTTGTTGCAGTAATATTGGTCGGCGATGTGACTGTGGGAAAAACTAATTTAGTGGGGCGCTATACTCGTAATACATTTACTTCCGCGACCAAGGCCACTGTTGGGGTGGATTATGCTACACATATAGTTAATGTCGACGGGAAGACTATAAAGGTATGCCATATCGTAATATTACTAAACTAATTAGTAATATAATAATAATTAGTTAGTTTAGTAATATTATGGTCGTATGAAAAACAACGAAGAACACGGTTTGTACATATGTTCACACTGGAAATTAGTATTATTTATTCATTCCCTGTCGCTTTACGTCCGGAACACTTAAAGAAAGTTGTGAAACTTGTAATACCTCGTATAATCCTGCAGCAATATTTGTAAAGAAGATCTTCTCAGACTTAACTGTGGTAGCCATTTTAGTGTAATTGCTTGCTAATAATAAAAACAATTTAAGGATAGGTGCTAATCTGGGATACGTCGGGACAGGAACGGTTTCAAGCCCTCTCAAATTCGTAAGTGCACATCTGCCCGAGCATTTCCTAGACAAATACTATCAAGCATTTCTGCTTAAAATTATTGCGTGTTTTTGTCTGATATGATAAGCAATAATCTACACGTTGCAACAGACTTGCACACTGTGTACAGCATGCCGGCGGTTTGAAAGGCTAACCCATGCTCTGTTCACAGTTACTATCGAGGTGCGGCTGGCGCTTTAATTGTCTATGACATCACAATGGCAGATTCGTTCCGAAATGTAGAACGCTGGCTAGGAAAACTACGAGAGCACATCGATGAGAACGCAGCAATCATGTTGGTTGGGAATAAAAGCGATCTGGAAGAGCTGCGGACTGTGCGGAAAGAAGAAGGGCGGCGTTTTGCAGGTAAGATCAGACTGTTTCTCATACATATCATTACACTGTATACGCATGTATTGTGCTTACTTTGGTACTGTACAGTATTGGATACGTTTTTCGAATTTTTTCCGTACATATAGTAATTTTTTTCGTACATGTAGTAATTAATGCAAAGGTTGACATAATGACATTCGTAGAAAAACACCATCTTTCGTTTATTGAAACGTCCGCAATGGATGACATAAACGTTGGTAATGCCTTTCGAAGTACAGTGACGGACATCTACGAAATGGTTTCCGGCAAAGCCAGCCACAATCACCATCTCAACCGGCATAAACCGACCGAGGCCGAGGGAGTTATTACCATCACTGATTCCAATTTCTCCAAAGATAAACAAAAATGCAAGTGTTAATTAAATAGAGACACCCGAGCGACTATTAATTGGTTTCATGGTTGACTTTTACCATTTATATGAGAAACATTGGTACTGTTTGTTGAGCAGCGTGTAGAATTTAATGCATCGAAGTTAGTTACTGCATCTTTCACTGTCTGCAACGCGTTATACACGAACAGTAGAAAAATTTGTAATAAAATTTTCGAAATGGGTACTTCTGCCGACTTTCACAACACGTGCGAGTACCGCAAACAATTTGTGGAGTCCTGACTATCACGCATTGTTCCTTCGTTAATCGTTATCAGAAGAAATCTCAGATATGGCACGGTACGTATGTAAGTACAGTATTCAGATCGCACCGGAAGTCAGGAAAACAAACATAACGTAATCTAACCGCTTTTCTGGCTACCGCTTACGAAAGCGGGTTACTAATCAAAATCTGGTTTCGCACACGGGACCGCCCCTGGGAGACAGCTAGCCGGGTGTTACTGTTATCGTCGTCAGGCAGCGAGCAATCAGCTGCTGTTTGACTCTGCGTACGCTGATCCTTTTAGGGAGCATCGTGTTTTCCAGAGACCTTGACTTATTCCTGGACTGGGATACGTTCCTGAACCCCGACCATATCGAGGCGGTTTAGCCACTTTCTAGAATAATTTTTCTCGGTGTATTACCCTGTACTATCTATCGTAGCGTGTGCAGACATGGCTGATGTGAAAGTGTGTTTGATTGTGATCGATGGTTGGGGTCTGTCAGACGAACAGAATGGTAAAACAACTCCTCCATGATATTGCTCTGTTTGCAAAATAACAGGAGTGTGTGTGGAGTCAAGCCGTGTTGTGCTGCAGGCAACGCCATCGCCCACGCGCAGACGCCCGTGATGACGGCGCTGTCGCAGGATAAGGAGCGCTTTCTCACTCTGGACGCATCGGGTCTGGCGGTGGGTCTTCCCAAAGGACTCATGGGCAACAGTGAAGTGGGCCATCTCAATATTGGCGCTGGCCGGCCCGTCTTCCAGGTAAAGTTGACTTTGCATCGGAAAGTTTCCAATTCAACAATAATTCTTTTATTGTATCCAAATGGCTGTGATTGGTTTACCTATCATGTTGCATTATTTTTACCATGCTTTATTTGCATGCTGCATGCAGCATGATGATAAAAACATTTTAAAAATAAAGTGCTTCTACTTAAAAAACTGTAGCCTTTAATATTTTTTATTTAGTTAATCTTTTACAAATGAATTGTGAATGTCTTAATTTCTGTGTATGATTAAACTTTTATTAAATTGCGCACGATTTTTTAGATAACTGTAATTAATATTGCAGCGAGTGATATTTCGAGTTACGCCCAAAGTCTCGATTACTGATTATAGTTGCTGCTGTCATTTTTAGGATATTGTCCGCATCAATTTGGACATGGAGAATAAAAAGTTGGGTGCTAATCCGAGATTCTTGGAAGCATGTGAGAATGCCAAGAAGAACGGTGGACGCTTGCATCTTCTTGGCCTGGTAAGTGTTTTCTGTTTGCTTACACATTGCTACTAGTTTCTGTGCCATGTTTTATGGTAATAGTTTGGTATTTCTAATTTCTTTATCGCAGTTTTCTTTGTGAAACTGAAAAGTAACATTCTTGACCGCCTTACCCGATTCTATCAGGAATTCAATTTGAAGTTAATGATGTTTCACTAACACCATAAAATCGTAGTAGAGTGGCTTGATAGTATTCTTGAATGCGGGCTTATCAGCCGTAACAGTTCTTGATATTCCATTGGTAGTTTTGCATTACTTTTCTTTTTTCGTAATCAGATTTTTGGGAGGATCCCTGATTTAAAAAAAAAATTATGTGGTGTACCGTGTACTACCTTTTTTAGAACATTTCCTCGTTTCCATGATGGATGTTTTTAAGTAATCGTCGGACTTTGTAGGTGAGCGACGGAGGCGTACATTCGCACATCGACCACTTATGCGCTCTCTTGGAAGGTGCCAAAGCAGCGCATGTACCCAAAACGTTTGTGCATTTCTTCGGCGATGGCCGAGATACCAGCCCTACAAGCGCAGGTAAAGCTGCAATTTTTTTGGACGCTGTATTACTCTCTTCCCTGGATCTGGGGATTGTTGGCACATATATGTAATATTTTTGTCGTCGAGCGACGATTATGCCACGTCGGGACGCTAATATTTTTTAACACTGTTAAATACTTCCGCTGATCCACAACTGTAAGACGCTCCGAACTTCTTTTTCTCGGGACTTCTTTTCGTAAAACATATCATGCTTTGTCGCTGAATAATCGATTGATTTTTTGACTTTCTTTTCGAAACGCGTCGTTATAATTGCAGCGGGTTATTTGGATCGTCTCCTGCAACACATGGCCGCCATTCAGTATGGTGAATTAGCCGACATCACCGGACGTTATTACGCCATGGATCGGGACAAGCGCTGGGAACGGATAAAAGTGGCTTATGATGGATTAGTGGCCGGCGCGGGAGAGACGGTGGAAAATGCCCAGGAAGCCAGAAATGTGGGTGATTGTTCGTAGAATGTCTGCAGACTTTGCACAACTGAGACTTTTTCATAATACCTTTAACCCATTTGTCTCTCTTACTGCAGTTAATAGATAAACGCTATAACCTACCGGAAAATCAAGGCCGGGAAACCGATGAGTTCCTGAAACCGATTATTGTTAAAGGGCTGGGGCGAATTCAAGGTATTATTACGCTGATACTATGCTGATATTATGCTGATACTGGCCGCTTTTCACAGCAGCGTTCTTGAAAAATTTCTCGAGTGGTATATATTACCATTTTTCTTACTTTGTCGTCGCATTTCGTAGACAATGACACCCTCGTATTTTTCAATTTTCGTTCGGATCGTATGCGCGAAATTGTTGAGACATTCGGCGTGAAAAGGAATTTTGAAACCGACAATTTTCCGAAAAATCTGGTTAGCATCCACAGCTTCTCAAGATTGTGCAGTGATTCCATATTTTATAATACGATGATAAAAATTTAATTAATAACCGTCTCATTGTTGCAGTATGTAGCTTGTATGACGCAATATAATCAAGCCTGGACGTTTCCGTTGCTTTATCCACCCGCCAATACGGAAAACACCCTGTCAGAATGGATATCTCATAAGAAATTCGCCCAGTTCCATTGTGCTGGTTAGTGAATTTTGGCAGTCTTGAAATAGTAACCTGAGATCAGATAATTGGGATTTTTCGCCTACCAAGCCAGTTTTCGTTAATTTGCCAAATTATGGCGTCGTAACATAAAAAATAGTTAATTTAAGAGCAGTAGGTTTTTGGTTTGAAAAGTAAAACGGAAAAAAGACTAGCGTAAATATGGGCTAACGTTGCATGATTCCTTTTCACAGAAACGGAGAAGTACGCTCATGTAACATTTTTCTTCAATGGTGGAAAAGAGACGCAGGTGGAAGGGGAAGAACGCTGTATGGTGCCGTCACCCAAAGTGCCCACCTATGATCACCAACCGGAAATGAGCAGTGCTGGCGTTGCTGATAAGGTAAGTGGGCGTCTGATAGTATAATCTTATAGTGTAATCTTTTGGACTTCCTTTGAAGCTCGCTGTTAATCCTCTTTCACACTGGCGAAGTGTTTGACATTGCGTTATTTATTCAATGATGGGTATATGAATGTTGCGGGTGTGATATGTTTCATTCAAATTCATTGACATACGAAAATGCTTAAGAACAGCGACACAGTCCATATGTGGGATGTTATCGTAGTGCAATGACTCAATGAGTGAGTGATGGTTGATGGTTAGTAATTTTGTGTTCTTCGTGAAATTATTAGATGCAACCTACGGTATCGGTTTGTATAGTAGAGCAGTAGTCATTTTCACGATCGTTATGTTTTCGTTCGTTTTTTCATTAGTATTCGTTGCAGATGATAGAAGCTATTGGTTCTGGGAAATACAAATTCGTCATGTGTAATTTCGCCCCGCCGGACATGGTGGGCCATACCGGCGTCTACGAAGCGGCCGTCAAGGCGGTCACTGCTACTGGTACGATCTGCCATTCTTCAGTTCTGCTGGTAGCTTGCCAAACCTCGCAGTCATAACGATCCTTCGTTTTTCTTATCTGGAAGCGGCGTTGTGTTAAAGCATACGGCGTAATGTTTATTGTGGTTTTTGCATCAGACCGCGGTGACGCTGTCATTTTGTAGATATTGCGATTGGGCGCATCTCGGAAGCGTGCAAACAACATAACTACGTTCTGCTAATTACGGCTGACCATGGTAATGCCGAGCAGATGCTCGCCCCGGACGGCCAACCTCATACTGCCCACACCACTAACCGAGGTCAGTTGGGTGATACAGTTAATTTTAATGATAATTTGTTGAATGGAGAAAAATTACTTGATGCGTCAATTAATTGTAACAACGGACTGCTGACGCATTATTTTTTGGCAAACCAAACTTTCCCGGAGCGATGCAGCTATAACATTTATTTTGTTTATGGTTAATCATTGGGCGACGCCTTTTATCGTTTTGTTTGTTATAGTTTGACCCATTTTTCAGTGATGTTGGTATGCTATGAAAGATAATTTTGAAATGGGACTATCGTCCGACAAAGGGAATAAAAATTATTTTATTATTAATTTATTGCACGTGATACAACTTTGTGCAATCTGTATTTCATGAGACCCACTGCTTATGGTGAATTCGTTTTAGTGCCGTTCATAATGGCGTTTACGTCGCGGAAATTCCTGCAGCCGTCTCACAATGCTGCATTAGCGGATGTTGCTCCCACCGTACTGGACTTGATGGATCTTGGTAAACCGAACGAGATGGACGGTCAGAGTCTTCTGGCGCCGGCATAGTCGAGCAAGCTGGAGCGTTTTGTCGTACTATACACTCTTGTGTCTGTAGTCTCTCTGCCCTGTGACAAATCAAAGTGTCTATGAAAACTTCATTAGTTTAAATGACGATAATAATTTACCGGTTGTTGTTTTGTTACCGTTGTGTCTGTTGATTGTACAAGTGTGCGAAATTTGTGATACAAAAGAATGGCCAGCCGTTACGCAAATACAGGCATATAGGCAATTCGAGTAACTGCAAATTTAGTCTTTTCCTGAGTAGGCGACCTTTCAGATGTATGCTAGTAAACTTGTTTGTTGCAGACTTTGTTTCGTGAGCACTAATACTATGTAACTCTTAATGTTTTTTTTGCAGTTCACGAGTTTGTCCGTTTTCTGTTCGCACAGCACAGTAAATACTATTAAGAACTGAGTAATCGCAGCTAGCATGAGTATGGCAATTCAAATTTGCGGAAATGGATGGACGCAGTTTACATTAGAATGAGCTCAAGTAGGAGCGGCTGTAGCGCGGCAACTGGCGTAAGAATTTTTTGAATTTTAAAAATTAAACCAACTTTCGCTGTTTAACTTTGATTAGGATTAACTCCTGAACGAAGTATTTCAGAGCAGTTTTCAGTGCAGGTAATTTTTGCATAACTGCTGTACACGTGAACAACGAATGTTGCGGAATAATGAATACGGAGAGCTTAAACTGATACCGGTATCTGACATTGCAGTTGTTTGCTTGCTGTTGCGGTTTTGTATTGCAGCAACTTTGTAAAACCATTTCATACGGTTGGGAGCTCAAATTTTTTCAGGCAGGTACAATCACCACGAATCTAAATCAATCCGTTTTTGCCGCTTATGACCGCCTACAGGGGCTTGCGTGCTGCTGCAAGCGAGACAAAATGTCCGGTATTTGTGCAAGCTGCACATTAAAAATTACAGCAACAGGAGAAGACATTATGACACATCCGGCAGCTGGTTAGACAGTTTGACAGTGTGTCCGCGAGGACTTTTCAAATTGGTGATGGGACCCGTTACTTATTTAAATATCGGCAAATTTTCGCAAACCAGACAAGCTTCTTGTTCAAGCATGTTAATAGCGTCATCTGTCCATAATTACAAAAGCATAAGTATATAATTTCAAGTTTCACAAACGTCGATTGCACTCCAACCCACTGCGATTGTTGCGCGCCGTTTCTTTTCGCCAGTTGCACCGATTGTTTCGGTAGGATTATGGAAACCCCTGCAAAACAAAGACTGCTCAGGCTCTTACGCTTTCAATATCGAACATGGCTTTGTATAATGCATATTTGTGGTTACTTCTGCTATCCGCTTTGCAAAGTGGGACCAAAATATCGAGTATGTCTAAACATCCTAATGGTCAGCTATATACTGTTGGAGTTCACGGTCTCTGTAAAAGACGCCCTTATCGATGTTCCTGTAAAAAGTGCTACACTAGCAGGAACACTGTTGATTGCCCCTGCGTATTCGTATTGTTTTGTGCGTTTCTCGTGTGCCATCCAGATGGTGGATGGACAAATGTCTACCGTCGCTAGTGCTGACAACAGTTGACCTTTTGGAGACTAGTTTATCATCATTTCAAATTGTCACTTTACTGGTTTTTGGAGCGGCTTTATTTCTGGGTTATCTGTGTCAGTTCGGCTTACAATTGATAAACAGTGTTACAAATGAACAAAGATTAGCGATCAGCAATTCCGATTCGTATTCGGTTATGGCAATAATAGTTTTACGGTCCATTGCCAATGTGTCCCTCCCGATGTTGTGTGAGGCGGGTTTTATTTGCGTACAATGTTTCATAACTATTGTAGCCTTAATGCTGTCGATGGGCTTTGGTTACTTTTCGCGTGACCTTTTGCGCGGAAATGTCGCCAATCGAAAAGCTCTCTTACGGTGTCTGGATAACCACCGAAAGCTTAAAACGATATCTAGGATATTTTGTAAACATTTCTCTTTTACCAACTTGGTGAACTGCTTTAGCCTGGTGTTCTACATAACTCAAATGCTTCAAACTGTGATCGAAACCGCTGTTATAAACGATTATATTGGCGTAGTATTTTTAGCAACAACTTGTGTTGTTTCTGCTCTTTACATAATCTGCCTTGCGCGACTTACCGAGCAGGTACGTTTTCACTTACTGAGCAGTTTCTAAACGGAAATATGAAATAACAGAAATGAAACGGCTTGACAGGAAACAGCGTTCATATTGTCAATGAAGAGCGTCCTCAGTCGAAACCTGTTGCCGGATCCGTATCGAGCAATGGTGGCCAGACATTATAATTACTTCAAAAGCGTAAAACCTGGAATTTTAATGGGCGGTGTGGTAATAACCCGACAAACCTGTGTAACGGTAAGGCAGTACTTAGCGCACTACTTACCCCCCCCTTCGGTCAACTCATTAATTTACCAAAAAGTCTACCAAAGTCAACTCATTAACTTACAAATCTTATTTCTGTCGAGATTTGAAATATGTTGTCAGTATTCGGTCAGCAAATGCGGTACCTGATATGTCACCGTCAGTCAAATAGCTGCAAATAGGCCAATGACAATGACCACTCGCACTTCGGGCAAGAATAGCCTGAACGACAGTTTGTACATATATAAATTTCAGTCAAGATTGTACTCAAGGGGCTTTCTAGTATACGTACAGTACGAGTATACAGAAACCCTTGAATACAGTTTTGTTTCAGTGCACCGCGCGACTGGTCGTTCACTGTCCGACCCATTCAGTGTCCGGTGTCTTCTTCATTCTCGCATTTGAGACATGCTTTATTCTGAAAGCTTCCTCCTCACCATTGAATGAAATTTAACTACTAAAGATGACTTAGACAGATATACAGTACTTTGTCACTTTGTAGATTTCTTCCGCACTCTTCGGTTATGGCCTCATGTCGGCGCAGTTTAACGACAAACTTTATTTGTCAAGGTCCGCAATCGGCAGCATGTCCGTGAAATACATCGAGGAAATAATAAAGACATACTACTACCGGAACCACTCTTCAGTTGCTTAAATTAGAGTAACCTCGTTAAACGGTTTATTGCCGCGGAAACGGTTTTCCGTCTTGTTATCAGTTTGCGCCACTGATGTGGTAAGCATGCAATAAAACTAGTTCCTGTTTTGAGTTTTTCATGTAATATGCATGAAGCTGCCAGTTTGCCGAATACAATTTAGATTCTATATTACAATATTTCAGCTACCGGAGTTGATCTTTAACGCCATTGGGATCTGCTGCTTCCAGATTTGTTATTGTTCAATAACGCGATCGTTAAATTAAAGCTCGGTTAATTATGTAGCATTCTTTCGATCGCAGCAGGACCTCCTTGAACGAAATCACATTTTTCATCAGTGCGTAATAACATACATAGCCTATGTTCGAAGAAGGTCAACCGCTATGAATTTTACGGTTGGTCAAGCCCAATACGCTTTTTATGGCACGCTGCATGCTAGGCAAATTAAAATGGTAAATCAACGGATGAAATATGCAGTTAAGGTAACGCAGGGATAAAATTACGACATAAAGCCTTGCATCCCAGTAGTAATCCAGGGTTATGGCTAGAAAAAAGACGATTTCCGGAACGTATCCGATGAACATACAGACAACGATGCAGAGAAATAGTCTAAACCATCGTTTTTCATTCAGTCGTTCCGCATCTTTTGTAGAGTTTCCACTGTTTGCACGCGAAAGACAAACATGCTGAGGACTTGCCGGAAGGACCGCGACGGTTTTCATTTTGTGAGCTAACCCTAAAACCGACGTTTCGTAAGTCCTTTCAATAGACCTTCAAACGCATTTTCTAACAAATGTTTCTCGAAATAAAAGTGAAAGGTAAAGATCAGTCAGCTAAGCTCCAGTACTTTAACTGACCTTTCAGAGATTTATATCGCGATCGCCTGTAAAGCTTGATAAAGATAGCAACGTAACTGCAGAGCACAAATACGGGAGGCGCGTCAAATACAACAAATTCGATGATTAGAGAGTACGTGTACTGTCCACTGTAGCTGACAGTACACGGGAGTGAGTGAGTATTATGCCACACCGCGTCCATGACGATATGAGGAGCATCAAAGATCATTAGATAAACCCACGATACCAAGCACAATTTCAACGACAAGGTGCAGGAGCGGTCATGCTTGTAACTGAACGGAAAAAACACGGACCAAAGACGATCTACGCTGATCAGCATTATGCAGTGAGCTGTCCCTGCCGAAAGTACTTTGTCCAGGAAAAGATAATATGGACAGTATTCGGGACTGGATGCCGGTGACAGTGTATACCAAATGAATCCGGTCATACTGAATACCGCCACACCGAGGTCACACAGTGATAAATTTAGGATGTAGTAGGAGAATGGATTGCGGATCGTTGAATCCTTAACGAAAGCCAGCACGATTAAAGAATTATATAAAAACGTAATAAGCGCTATTATGCTGACGGCTGTGGCCAAAATGTAAGCTTCCGTCGATAACGAGTAATTCTCGGCCTGAGTAATGTTGAAAAAATCAGGGGTGTTGTTCTTGAACGTTGTATTGCTATCCATCACGCAAATTCTTATCCAATTTCCCAAATCAATACGTGAACCAATTCTAGTACAAACTAGGAAATTACAAGTGGTAAACAAAATTTACAGCTAAGCTTTCACACAGTGCATACTTTGAACATTGTACAATATGCTCGTTCTCTGGAGTGAGAAGAGCATCGCTTTTATACCTGCTTCCTAATTGTTAATGGCGTGATTCATGCACAAGAACGGCTAATCACGACGCCTGTACTAACTCGGGGAATCCATTACGCCATGTGCCACAACAATTTAAACCATCTGGTCAAAAGAATAATGAGCATAATTAATAAATCTAAGTGATTTGGAAACCGGAAACTTGCGGAAGCACGATTGGAGATGGATGTCTGTTGACCTCGCTAACAACTTCGCAGCGACGTTGTATAACGATTTCTTGGCTTTGCTTCTGCACATAGAGTACGATTTACCTACTCGTGCATTAGCGTCTGCATATTATCCTGAATCTCCACATCAGTTGGGAGATTAAAGTAAGCGTAGGTAATTTGTCATGTTCTGCCTGACCGGCGCAGTAGCAGTTTTATTATCCTAATGAATTTCTTATGGAAGTATTCGAGACATGCCGTACTTGGTTGTACTTCGAAGTATTGTTTTCCTACTGACTAAAGAGTCAAAGGGACACAGCACCATACGAATATTTAAAGAAGCGCAATGTTTATACTCGTATGAACGCAATAGTAAGACGCAAAGAGGCAATCACGCACAATTATACAGAGTAAATAAGGCACCATGATGGATAGATGCAGAAGAAAAAACGGTTGTAATCGTAACCTCCTCCGTCCAGTGCTCACAGTTACCGGTATCATCAGATGCGTTTTGACGCTGCCAAATTCGAACTGCTTTGTCAAAATGCGGTGTCTAGTGAACCGAGCTACCACTCTGTGAGTGCAAAGATTCGTTTTAGATGTGACCACCCACTACTGTCCACTGACGACTCCGTTGTGACTAGTGACGAGTTACCAGCACTTCTGCATAATGCCGTTAGGTACTGGGTGACCGAGCGGCAAACTATAGTTACAGAGTCTTTAGTGTAGTATGACCAAACTGCAATATTACTGAGCAAAATAGAGCAGGGCCTGCTAAGTTCTTAAGCGACCTATCTAGCACCACTGTCCAGTCTTAGCGTCCTTTTGAAGTGATGTGATAACTCAAAGTGATTAGATGCAGTAAGAAAATTAACAAAAATTTCGTAAATTAGTAAGTTCGATCGAAACCAAAAATGAGCTTTTTATAAAGGTTATGGTCTGAATCTAAGTTAACAATCGTAAACCGGCCAAGGAGTTTAAGATACTACGCGTATTAAGAGGCTGTATCAACACAATTTGCTGCTGGACGTAGTACTACTACTGTAGTACTATAACAGACAGCTGACCAAAAGTGTACTTAGTCAGGTACTCGTACATCAGCAGCAGTGTGTATGAGTTAACTTCTTTACACAAGCAAAATGATTGTCGGGGGAAACTGCAATGATTTCAAGTTTGAACTTTCAGTGTGGTTTATTGAGATGACTGTAATAAGCTAATATCACATACAATACAATCGTGTAGTTTTCATTTTAATAGCTTTATGGCTAACAAAACACTAACCATATATTTGGTTAAACCAAGGATCGAAGTATTCAAAACTCTTATCAACGAACAGCTGTTAATTTTAACGCACGGCTCCGCATGCTGGGCTCTGCTGTCCCAGAACTGGAAAACCTCCCGAGGTTTCCCGTCTGTGATACTGTTCCAGTGTCCAGTCTGATTCATTTGCAGGTACTCACCATTTACCTGATAAGACGAACCTTTCATTTGCCTGCAATGAGTTAATTTGATCAGTCCGTTTGATACGCGGTACTCACAACCAGCTGCTTACCCGTTGTGAACCACCTGCCGCAACATGTCACGCAAACCTTCAACGTATTCTGGAGAAAATTCCATAGCAGTGGAACTCCCAAAAATTGGGCTGGATAGCTGCATGACATTGGGAGAATATGATCCTGTTTTTTGGATTAATCGTTAATCAGTGCTGTAGCAGTGCTTGGCATTTATTCATAGTGTTCTAATAAGTGTACAAATAGTGATATCCTTGTTTGGACACAATCATACTTTTAGCACCCATGAAGCGAAATGCAAGCGGTTATACTGTTCTACACACCGAATCCATCCAGTTCATGATCATAGTCGATCCGAAATAGTTGAGCGTTTCTTGAATTGATCCTCAATGCTTCCCTCACCGAAGGATAGGCATACCGCGAATCCGTAATTAGCTGCACCAATAGATTTCACGAAGTTGTGAATTACAGCAGATGACCTTTCTGATTATTGGCTATTAAATCAATGACTCTGTACCTGCAGTAACTTGCTAAGCGTATCATTGCGATCTTGAGGATTCCGAATGGTGTAGCGCTGCATAGGCCCTTGAGCAGCATCACTAGTGTACGTTGTACAGTTAGCTAAACCGCCTTTTGTCTCCACAGCAGACCACCGGGCAACGAGATCCCGCAGTCTCTCCAGTTTCAGGGGTGTTTTTTGATCAAATAATTCGGGTCGTGCATCTGTTGGCAGAAAGGCCTGCACACATACCTCTCAATAATAATCTTATGCAAAGGTTCGAGTACATTTCAGCAGTGATTCCACGTTTTTCCGGGAATAACCGGTGAGAATATAACCAGACGGTTGACCGCGAAGCGGAGCTGTGAACGGAGTGTCGATTAGGAAGCTCTTGTCGATTACAAGACCGTACGGTACTGTCTGGAAAACATCACAGTTACATCACGGTAGTTTACAATTCAGTGAAACCCTTATCATTCCGTTTTTATATATTATACGGGATTTTGAAGCTGACCGGTTGTTACCGAAATCCGCTACAGAAGGCATATAATCGATACAACACGTTATATACTATAAAAGGTCACCCTTGAATTCTTCCTAACCATACCGGTTCGCTGACATTCCAGACGGCATATCTGATAATTTCCGAGAATTTTTTATAACGGAACATCTGGTAGGCCACATAGGCAACTGAAGTCTGACTGTTCACGCTGTGGCCCGTTCGTCTGGCCAGCTCAAAAGTGTCATGTTCCGGGTCTGGTCGGTACAGAGAATCACTCAGCACACTGCCCCCGAGCATAATCGCCGAGCGAAATAAAGCTGTTCACATAAAACTTGTTTGATGTTGCACATAATTTGAGGAGATTTAGAGGAAACCAGCCATTCCGTGACCTGCCGACGGCGGTGACGGTCGTGAGGTCAACAGCAGTGTTGACAATAAAGCCGCTCCGGCGCCCTCTCCCATCACGGTCATGGCGCTTGCGTTACCACCAAAAAGATGAATTTGCGATGAAACCCATGTAATGGCTAACTTACAGTCTCCCAGCCCATAGTTCCCTTGTTGGTATTTGGGGGAAGTACGTAAGAAACCTATAACCGAACGACAGTTAATGGGAATAATGGCCTTCCGTACTTAACTGTCACACATACTCCCTTATGGAAAAGCGTTGTTTAATAAAAATGGGCATATGTTGTTGAATCTTGGGGATGGCACCAAGCCACCAACCGTTAAATACGGTGTATATTATTAATTTTATTATATGAATACTAACTAAGTAACAAGGGTCCTCGACACTTTGCCGTTGTACTCAATGTTCTCCCGTTCTACACATCCAATCTGCACGCTCTAAAGTTCTACAGAATCCTCTCAGTGTCGAGAGTAATCCTGCATCTTCAAATTTCTGGAAAGCCCAATCCCTACAGTCCAGTGGTCACTCAAAAGCTTGTTACCATGGTGGCCATTATCTTAACATAGGCTGTTTGTAAATTCCCAGATTGTTACTATGTGTTATTATATCGAATTGTCATTGGAAATTAGCGAACTGCGAATTAGCAAAAATAACAGGTTTTGCTCACGCCTGTTTATTTTGTTCGTGCCTCCTTATTGTAATAAACATCGTGCCATTATTTAATACATATACAGTTAACCTTTTAACATGCTCGAAATCCTAAGACAGTATTCATCCGTGCTGGGCTTGTATATATATATTTATAATATTTATTTAAATATTATGCTTTTTACTTAATTTTTATTCTTACCAAAAGCGCCCACACGATAATTAATGACTACTACAATGGCGTTGATGTCCGCGGCTAGAGATGACCCATTGTAGAGATCTTTTGTACCCACTATTCGCAAAACGTAACGTTGGTTAATAGTTTAATTTTGTAGTGTCATTATGAATAGTAAATTCTGTCAGCATTTCAACGTAGTGAACCTTGTAGCTCTCCGCCATGAATATATATAAGTACGGGTAATGGTTGCCTAGAAGAAGAACCGGAAGTCGAATTCGCTGTAGTAACCGGTGGAACGTAAATGTCCAAGAACAGGCAATCTTCCGACATGATTTTTCCGCCCATTCCTTGCACAGGCAGTGTAGCATTTTGTGGACAAACCATACCCAGTTGCGGTCTGGTTGCGTTTTTCAAATAGGCGAAATCAGAATTTACGGTTGCATGCTGCAATTGAACGAGGTATGATTATTGGATACAGCACTATCAAAAGGTCAAAACGAACGCAATCGCGGTGACGCACATAAAAACGTTGTGCAGTCCCATAGCGCAGGCCGTAATAAGCATAACCACATGCGCCATTCTTGCAGCAACATGTTTCCCCTGTGATACCGACATTTCCCGGGCCCGGGAAATAGACTGCTCCGCTTTGTGCACCAGTACAAGGGAAATAATTCAGTAAAAGAATAGTAATTATTAAAAACAGAGCTCTGTAACTGCATAGAAAAGGTCTCTCTTTGTCAGGCATCATCGCGTAAGGCCAAAATACCGACTGATAGTAAATATTGAAAGATTCAGTTTTTCGGTTGATTCACTGGCTTTCGCGTTCTTTTAACTGATAGAGTGCTATCTATTGCCTTGCTACGGGGGTTTGGTCCGATTTTGCGAGATATTTAAACAGCGCACCCAAGGTTATCAGAGATAAATGGCGCGCTTATCAGACAGGATGGCCCCGTTGATAAGAGGACACAAACAGGTACGAGTACAATACATGTTTGCATTTTGCACAGCGTTTCGTCTTTTCCGCTACAAGCAGGGGAGAGGGAGGTGACATGTCAGGAGTTTTTGAGAAGCTATACCGATCTGCAACATTTGCAACGTCTTTAACTCTTTATATAGCATTCAGTGTACTTACTACTGAAATTTTTTTGTTGCGAATAATTATACGAGCGCAACAATATGCAATCTAATCTTGCAAAAATGACGAAAGAACCTACGGTTGCTGCATGATATGACCTTATCGTTCATGTTAGCGACTGAGATGGCCAATGCACAAAGTAAATATCGGAGTCGGAGGTCAATGTTTGCTTTATAGTGCCTTTATTAACAATTGTGGTGATGTTATACATATATAACATGTTATATATGTCCTGTTTCCCCTTTTTACAATATAACTGGAGAAACCTACTTATAAAGTATGGTTGCAGTTATTTGCCATACATAGTGTTCTTGGATTTTTCCTGTGGTGAAAAAGTACTTACTACAATTAAGTATAATTTAAAAGCATAAAGCAATCCAAAAAGTTCCGTACTGACGTACGGGGCCCAAAATACTGTAACTGCAGTCGATTCTATTGTTCTGCAAATCTGCAAAAGTAACTGAGTTATTGACTATTGCTCAAATGTATCTACCGAAGTACGAGTCGTATTTGACCATTCTAACAAAAGATGTTTGTCAGAAAGAATTTTTCTCATTTTTGCCTTGGTGTATTAATTGTTGCCTGGTAAATACTGCTAGTAGGGATGATATAGGATGGCGTTTATTAGAAACTTTGCATGTACAGAGGTGCTCGAATGTGAACCTGACAGGAATATATAAAGGTGGCAAAAGTTTTAGAAATAATATTCCGTAAGGGATTTTACTCTTTTACAGTAAACTTCGATACGATGCTAAATCAATAATTTCTGGTACCGCTTTTACTGCAACATTTTTCAGATGTGAGAAAGAGTAATCCAATAAATCGTACAAGACACAGAACGTGACCGGCAACGCGATCCATTAACAAGTCAGACATATCCAAAATAACACCGGGACATGTCGCGCCTTACATAACGGAGCAATGTACCGCGGAAAAAGCTTATGTTAATAGAAAATAAGCACAGATTACACAGCATATATTTCGTTAAGCAACGCAGAAATAGTTCCGGTAAAATGTCGTAATCAAGAGCATAACATGAACAATCCTGATAATTCAATTCTGCCAGACGTCGTTATGGAATCCATTTTTAGCCAATGCATTTCATTCATGATGATCGGCCTGAACACTCTGCAACGTAGAGATCTTGAGGGAACCGTTACACAAGTGCGGAATACTAATTTATTATCATTGCTTCAAAGTAATAATTAATAAAGTAGTTTTTTTTAATTTATGGAACGTTTTAACATTTAGTCAATAAGCTCCTTAAGTTATAAAAAAGATTGCCAACTTACAGTGAACTCATTTGTAAATAATGCGTTTCATTTCAACCAGCTCGAGTTCTGCTACCACCCGGTCGGTCATTTCTTGTGACCGCTGCAAATATGGCCGTTGAGCTGATGCAGCTGCGGCATTGTTATCAGGCTCCTACAAGTTAGTTTAACTTGTTATTAATAATTCTCGACACATAAATTCACGCAATACTATGTAGTCAGTTCCAGAATTAAGTTTAGTTTATTAGTGAAATTGTGCGTCAACGGCAGACAAATTAGATTTTCGGTAACGATGCACGTACAAACTCGTGAAGCACAGTCATGTCAGTTAAAACAAAAACCGGGTGGTAGCAATCGAGTTCTAAAGGGGCAATTATTAAAAATTATAGTCGGTCCGGTAATATATTTAGTAAATAACGTTAAAGTGTTTAATTAAAACCAAGTGTTAACTTGATAACCGCTTTTAACGCGGTCGATCCAAAATGCTTGTGAAATGAAGTAATACTCGTTATTTTGTCAGCATCGCAGTGTGCTTTTCTTATTACTTATAAAAATGTAGCCGGCAACTTACCGTTCGCGATTTTGGCTTGGGAGTTTTGCTCTTCTTCTCCTCCTTCTTGGCTTTCCTTTCGAATTTCTCCTTCATTTTACGGGCTTTACACGCGGCAACCTCAATGTCCTGGTCGTTTTGTTTCTGTTCTGCGTTGGATAATAATTCTTCCTGCAACGTACGCCAATTACTATCTATGCATTATTATATCAGCTTTACCACTCTGAATAATTTACAATGGTACAATATTTTATAAACCTTGTTCATATAAACTATAAATAAAAAGTACATAATTGTGCACGTGAATTTATTTAGCCACAATTTTTTCATAGCTAAAGAATATGCATATACTTAATCTGTAATTTTGACTGTGACCAAATTATAAGATATTGAATGTTCGATTCGATGTGAGACAAACCGGTTTTTCCCATTTGGCGTTGACTCCCGATACTGCACTGCGGTTTTTGAGCTCCTTCAGTTCATCCTGCAGGAAAGAAATAAACGAACGTCAAACTTGGTTACATAGATTGAAAACTTGAAATTATAATAATTTTCATCCTAATAATTTTTAAATTTTTAAACCGTGCCTTCTCTTCGTGCTGGTTATCGTTGTTTACTAGTCCCTGTTCGAAACGGTTTTTTGTTCCCTTAATGTTGGCTTGCTTTACGATATCCAGACCGAGGTCACTCTGAACGGCGCCTAAATGGCAAAAAGTAATGATAAGAATATTATGGTTTGTATTAAACTACACATAAGGTAATATAACTGTGGCTACAATACATGCACGTGCGGACTCAGTAATTATAATCGTGTTGTGCCTATCATGAACTCGCCTCTGATAACGTCCGAAGCTGTCGCTTCCGGCTCATTTTCAGCCGCAACTGCAAAAAATACGACAAAGATAGACAACTCACTACGTACATACATGCAAATCGATGAACCGTCGTTCAATCTGTTCAGTACCTGCAAGTTCTTTGAACAACGGTACGGTTTAATTTTTAAAAAAAACGGCTGTTTATTTCTCCAACGAAGTCAAGGTCAAAATCATTCGACGCATTAAATATGCATAACTTAATTCATCTGTATAGAAGAAAATTTATCGTAAACGTATTAGTTAATCAAATTACAATACGGGTAGTAGGAGCTATAGTAATTTACTAATTCGCTAATTTTAAACTGGTTTATTTAACCTAGCCAAGCCTAAATCCTTACCGCATTCTTGCGTAGCAGCCGTGGCTTCTTTGACCTCACGCTTAAACTCTTCTGCATCATAACCTTTTTTGATCTGCTGTCTGGCTTGATTATCTTGCTGAAAGGCAGCTTTCTAGGGAAGAAAACAAACGCCATATCATTTTGCCATTAGTTGTGTACAGTATATACCGATGAGCGCTCTCAACTGCCATAAATGCTCAACATAACTTGGGTTTGATCGTCATCAGCTGTCGCCTGACGACATTACAGTTCACAGTACCCAGAACTGTATACTAGTTTACATGATACACTGATGCACAGAACGTACAATGGCGGAAAGGCTGACGCCAACATCTATCTTTTTGGCTTTGACCCGCTCCGATTCGGATTCGGAATCAGAATAGTCGGACTCGTCAGATGATGCTTCCGATGATTCATCTGAATCTCGTTGTTTACGCGTGTTTGTTGTCGTGTGCAACGGTTTAGGGGGAGCGGCGGCGGCTGCAGGCGGTTCTTCCTTTACCGGCTACAAATCAGCATTGTGTATATTATCATAATGCTTTAGCGCATTCACGGAGCTTTTTACGGAAATCATCTATGACGTAACGGTAAAAAAATGTTTTTTAGTATACAAAAATTATATGTGCTTCTGAATGTAATTAAGTAGCTTGCAATCAAAGTCGTCTAACAGTTTTGGTTTCCAAAGCCAGCTCTATATAATGGATTTACAAGGCTGAGTACAGTGGTCGTGTAATTTTTTAAAGGAATCACTAGAAAACCATTACAATTTATTAATTTATTATCAAAATTCAGTTAATTACCTATGTCGGTCACATTCGGCGGTTTTAACATAGAAATGTTTGCTTATACTTCACCTACACAACAGACATGAATCTTCCCTAAATTAACATGATTATTACGAATTATAATATCTCCAACAAACCCTTTGGCCCTAAGCTAGTGTTAAAACTGGGGCGTAAATAACAGGCCGACAGTAGAAATTCAGATAATAAAAAAATTCAGAAGCGTCACGAAAACTTTTTATCCGTGATACGAGCTGTCAAGAAATCCATGAGGAAATGGAAACGTCCGGGCCATTTCGAGACGCGCGCTATAATATGCATGCTTATTGCTCATACGGTCCAACTCAAATAAGCTTCCGTGAGCGTAAACAATGACACAACCCTCGACTGTGCTATAATTGCTCCAAAATAACTTTTCGGTAGACGGAAAACGCTAAAAGCCGTTCTTATATCAAAATGTTGTACATTTTTTACGTTTGATGTACTCTGTACTTGAAGGACTGCGTAGTGCACGCATTGATATGCCAGCAGGAATAACAACATTGTGCAAAATATTGTCTTTAAGCAACAACAGAACTAACAGTTTTCGTATTATTTTTATATAAAAGATGTCATTTTTAGAATAACAAATTACAACAATAACGATATTTGGGAAATCCTTTTACTTAATTTTTCCTTTATCTGGCTGAGATGGAAATGTGTCGGATGCCCCCGTTGCCCCGCCACTATACTACAAGTTTCATATTTTTTCCAGTTATGTTCGTGTATAGTGCCTGAAAAGTCGACAACTAAGAACACTTAAAAGTTTCTGGGGCCGGAAAATTCGAAAAATATCTAAGAAAGGATGATTCAAATACCTCAAGCAGAACACGATTTGTACATACGACTAACCACAGGAATTCTCAATTATTACAAAATTAATCAGTATCTTTCTACAAAAGTTGTATCAGTTTTTGTTACGTTCGTTTCCTGAATTGGCTTATGAATTTTCCTTACTGTACCTCTTTTGCTGCCGGTGCGCCTTTTCCCGCTGTAGCAGGCGCTGCTGCGGCAGTTTTGGCTTTGGGATCAGCAGCGGGGGCATTCTCCTTCTTCTCCCCATTGGCAGCCGCAGTTTTAGACGCCGGCTCGGGTTTCGCCGGTTCCGCCTTAGCGGCAGTAGCGGGCGGAGCAGCCCCGCCCCATGCTGCCTTGGCGGCAGCCACGTTCTTGGCTCCCACGGGAGAGACAAACGGTTTCTTTCCCTTATCCGCCATGATTATACACGGGAACACACGACAAATCTATTTTCCAACTGACACTATCACAGTGACCTTTTTGTACAATGCGCTTTAAGAAGATAAACACACACACACACGAATCAACTAATAAGAACAAACAAGAAAAATGGACGTGTTTATGCCAAAACAAGTGGAAAGAAGTTCCATGCACGATGTGGGAGGAAAAGCTGTCGAGTGAAAGAGAGAGAGACTACTGGCAAACACACCAAGTGATCGTAAAAGAATCGTTTGGGTAAATTTCGCTTCCACATCCGCCTTTTCTCGATAGCCGTGTTCGCTGTGTGAGCAGTATACGTTGTACCGTCAACACATACACAGAAAATACGAGGCATGCGCGCTCCAGAAGAGGGGAAGTACACTTTTGTATAATATTATCATCACGGATCAGCGGAAAAACTTCTCTTACGAGTCAAAGTTATATTTTTAAAGTTTGTCTAAATTTAGCAACGCATTTCTCTGGGTGCTGCGCAGTTGGTGTTTGTATGCATTGCCATTCGTACGGTATTATGCATGTGCCGTTATACTAAGGCAATGGTAATGGGCCCGGCACATAAAGTGATGTGTTCTGGCTGACTGGAATGTTCTTGAATTTCTGCTTGAAAGATTTATCATCCATTGCGCACAGCAAAACGAAACTGCCGGTTTTTGGTTTCTGCCGGCGTGAATTTCTTACTGGATTACTGAGCCGATTAAGCAGTTCAAAGTTGGTCACTATTTACGAATTTCGATTTACCATTTAATTGTGCTCGGCTAGTATTCTGCCACACAGGTACAGTATGGTTTCGCTGTAAATTATGCACGTAATATTGGGTAATTCATAGCATTACAATAAATAAACAAAACTTTTAGGTGATACCAGCCGCTGATTTTTGTGCCAACCGATAATTTTGGAAAATTTGTTCTTTAGTTTTATTTTGCGTGCATTGTTTTGTGATTCGTCCTAATAAATCAGCTTTTATTCAGTAACTTTTTTTACCGGAATTATCTGCTGGATTTAAGCAGTTGATCGAACTGCAACAAACTTCGCTATAGTAGTATTGCATGCCAGCAGTGCAAAGTACAATAATTTATGAGCAGTAACACGGCAAACCGATTTTATCATCTGGGCATTCTGACGCGTTCTGAGTAATTTTGATTTGCTTAAATGAGAGTAAAAGAGCAATCACACTGATCTTTTAAAAGGCACTCCAGATTGGCGGAAAGGAACAAAAAACCGACAGAAAAGATCACAATTTCTTTGGATTGGCAAAAATGTCAACGCTGCATCGTGCTTGAATCCGTACCGGTCAACATGGCGCTCGCAAAAATTTATGCGCCGATAAAAACCTATATTAATAAATCAAACTGCAGCCTGAATTGAGCTTCCGCTAATTCAACCCTTTAATTTGTTTATCTATCACTGAATTATTGCAAAATTTGTAGTGATTACAATTGAAAAAATCCACAAACCTTGTGGGATCGGTGTTCTTTGGCAGGAGAACGTCCGGTGGAAGAGAGACGGTGTTTTCGTAACTCCGATATTTTGTATAGCTAAGAGTAACCTTAAAAAAATTAATGGAACCACATTAACACTTTGCATGTTCTCTTGCAGAGATCTTTCTTGTATTAGAAACTGGACATCCCAGTTATTTGTACAATGGAGTTTGCCTCACTTTCACGCCAAAGCACCACGTTACTACGTACTATAGCTAATTTTATTGTTAGTAATTTACAGTGGCTTACCGCTTCTCGAATATCTTGTGTGGACAGCGTCGACAACTTCTCCAAATGGGAATGGAATTGCGGCATCTGCATCAGTGTAATGTTGTAATAACCTGAAAACCAACATCGCGTATACTGTTGCATGGTAAAACCAAAACTGGAAACACTTCGGTAATGAAATACAGAGTACTACAAATTCGAAAGCAAAAATCACCCAGGAAGGTAATCAAAATAAAATTATTAATGCATCGGAATTTAAACGCATCTTTGCAGATTTTCTCTGGTGTTATAATACCTATCTGCAAAATACTTCGATAAATAATAAAACTAAATATCGGAGCACAAGAACAAAAATATCAAAACAAAATACTGGCAAAATTAAAATACAAAGAGGGAACAAAATTTTGAGGAACAACTTTAAGTATTTTTACGGAAAGAATGTTCGTACAAAATCAGAAGAATGCAAGCTGGAAAAATTACCGGTAATATATCCAATAGCCACATCATCGGCTAAACCCGACATCTTCCGGCACAATGCCTCCAATCCTGCTCCTCCATACTGTTTGCTGATTTTTGATTTAATTCGGCGTACCGCAACGGAACTTAAACAGAAGCCAGCTCCACCGGTAGCGAAGCTGAATGTTATATACGGCGTTGTGGCCTACAATACGCAGAAATTAAAGGCGAAAGATCTATTTTGCATAACGATCTCGGGAGGTGTAAAAACAAGATCCGACCCGAAGGCATGATTTCGCGCGATCGTGCAGCGAGCAGAAACGGATACAGATTTCGAGCACCCAGCGGATCGCTTGGCGATTGACCAAAAATGATTAATTCAAAATGGCCATAACTTTGTTCAGCCATTATGCGCCATTATGCGCGACAACAGCTTTGGTATCGAAAATCTTCCCAAATTTTTCTTCATCTTTTGAAGCTTTGGTTGGTATATCTCATGAACCAGATCCTGCAATAACAGGAGATTTGATCCAGAACCAGATCCTGGTAATATGGGATCTCGTTCTGGATAAAGTTTGCAAACCAAGGCGTCAAAAGATGAAGAAACATTTGGGAAGATTTTTGATACCAAAAAGTTGCCGCGTATGATAGCTGGAAAAAAGTTATAGCCATTTTGAATTAATCAGTTTTGGTCAATCGCCAAGCGATCCGCTGGGTGCTCGAAATCTGTATCCGTTTCTGCTCGCCGCACGATCGCGCGAAATCATGCCTTCGGATCGGGAGAGAGAAGGTAAGTAATTAATGTAAATTGGCCCCTGTGTATCTAATTCTACACACCTTTCTGGTGTTTACATAAAAAAGAAAAATTTGTATCGAAATGTACAATACAAAAAATTCCTTATAGTTGTATTTACCCGTCCCCATATAGGCAGCGGTAGCACAGATAAAGAATCTTTTAGTTTTGTTGGGCCTCTCGAGCTTTTTCCTATGTACAGCGGCACGCTGGAGTCCAGTTTTCGCAGGTGTTTTAGCAGATTAAAGATGTTTACGTAGTTGTCGTCATCCACATGGCAAAACCACCTGCATCCGTACCCGTAATGTCATTTATTCTGATTAACTGCGAAGGTTTTATAATTGCAAAGTGCTCGTGAGAGTCTATTGACGAAAAGACGTTAACATTTTTGAAATTAGACTCAAGTATTCGTTTAAAGAATACTAACTGTGAAGACTTCTTCTCGGCTAGGTACAGATCAAATTCCGCGGCCATTTTGCAGCACAGATCGGTTCTGAAAATACGGAATTTAAGCAGAGGATTTTATATTGTATACGGAAGTCAGCAAGGAATCGCAGCAGGAACAAAAGTAGATTTGATTACTTGTTATGGGAACTGGGACAGCTGGTCTTTACCATTCGTCCACCTAAAAACATGCACAAAAGCTTATAATTTTACTAAATGACAAATTACATTTTCTCAAAACTGGTCACATGCAGCAAAGATATTGTTAACTCATATCGAAAAATTACCGCAAAATTACCCTCACAAAGATTTATGCATCAACCGACAACATTAGCGGTACACATCGGAGGAAAAACCAGGTACCTATTGTGTCTACTTACTAAACGCAGCAAAATCGACTTACCAACGTTAATGTTGTGTAAAGAGTCCACCGCATCCGAAACAAGGGAAACCTTAAAGAATCCCGTATACCAGGTATATATATATATATTGTAGTCAATACACAAGTATTGATACTTGAAGTAAATGAAGTTACTGCACTTAATGTCAACCATATTCATACTGTACATAATACGATTATCTATATCTGTATTAGACTATATCTATATTAGAATCTTTGCTCTGGCGTGGAGTACTATGAGGCGCGAGATTTAAAATATGGCTTAAAAGCTTAAGTGCGAAAATCAACGGTAGAAACAGCGTGTAAAATCGCAACTCTGTTGACGTGAATTACGGGACGTGTTTACTAGATTACAAAGCTATTGAAACAACAACAGCGTTCAGATTTTCACAATTCTTATTAACCGAATTAGGTGCGTGATTATTATATTTGAATTGATCGGCAAATATTTTCGAAATACATAATCAAAATAATATCTATGCTCATGAGCATTTCCTTGTCATCGTTGCAAGATAAACAGAGCAAGCAGACTTTCAATGAATGTGCACTGCACCAACTGCATGTACACTATACCAGCTGCACTAACCTTGACCAGGCTCTCGTTGTTTTTCCCGCGGATGGATAGCGCCAGCGGAACCCACGTCTGCATCTGCCATTTAATCCGGTTGGCATGGTTGGCCGCCGTGGTCTTCACCGTTACATAGACGAAATTCCCCGGCCAGTCGGCGAAATCCCCGGGGCACTGGCCCACGGGAGCCAATCGCCTGGCCGCCGTCACCCGCTGCCCGAGCACTTCGTCCATGAAGAAGCCAAACTGTACCGGCCCGAAGAACTGCCATGGCACGGTGATGAAAAAAATAAACGCGATAATGCCTGCCACCAGCACCCGACCCACATATTTCCACCGCATAATTTATTATTCGGTAGCAGCAGTCAGCTCGCTGTTTTGCAGAAAAACAGAAAGGAAACCTGTTCAGCAGCGTGCGCTCATTCCAGACACTGGTGCAGCTACTGAATGTCGATCGATCGCTGCAGACGGATGTTGTACCGTCAGATAGCTGTTTGTATTTGCCATAATGGCCATTACGCAGCTGCACTGTATCTCTCTGTAGTGGTGTACGTTAAGTGTTAACTTTGAGCTCTGATTTGATTAGAATCAGCTGAAGGTGTTCAAATTTATCAGCTTGTCCCAGACAGGAAGCAGCCGCAATAGTACACCAGCGCCGTGATAGCTGTTGTTAAGGAATTGACCGTGACCGGGTACATGGCACCAAACTGCACAAAAATTTTCGTTGTCGTGCACCCCAAAAAAGCGTTTCGTTGATTTCTGACATTGTATAGCCAAATGATTTTAACGCGAACATTGTCGTACGTTACCGTGAAAATCGTTCGTGTGCGCAAAATTCGGTTGGGGAGATAACGTTAATCCTAAATCGCTACGAAGTTGGTGGTTATTGTAACAGAATCCGTATTAGTAAAAATGAAAAATATCCCCTAGTGCGAGAGGTATTTTTCGATAAGAAAGCTGCCAGCGGAAGATCGAGATACCATGTTTTCTTAGCTTCGGTAATTATACTATTAGCTTCGGTAATTATACTAGTCGAGGAGGCGTCTTTGATTAACTGTTGTTCTGTCCGCAACTGAAAATTTACTGGTAACTTAAAATGACCTTTAATGCTACATACATTAAAAGAGAGCGTAGCGGAAGACGCTCCTTTTTTTGCGGACACTGCATAATCGAAGCGTATATACGTAGCGGCATACTCATAAAATGACTTTATTCAACACTTGTTCATCCGCTTTGTAATACACGTTTCGTAGTTTGGTATGCTTAATATATATTATCTAACTGGTCCGACCTTCCAAAAAAGTAAATACTGTAATATAATTTGTTATAATCATATACTTCTAGCGGTATTAGGTATTTATGATCTTACACTTAAGCACGCAACTGTAAGTAAGCACCGATCTTACAAAAACATTAATACAGATTCAGATCTATATAATTATCTGTAGATGAGTTGCCACAGGGGATCTCTGATCGCGTGAAAAAAATAGATGGACCGGAAACGATTTCGCCCGTATGTCGCAACGCTAAACGGCCCATGTTCGTACCTTTATTTGCTTGCTTTCAGAGCTGAGTTTTGACAAGCGAATTGTGCCAAAATAATTAAAATACTGGGATAATTTGCATAAGAGGAACGTAAAAGCACAGATTTCTACAGCACCAAAGTTATAGCTATAAGCGATTTTTCCAGTAACCCTTGCTGTCTCTCATTTCCGGTTAAAAAATGCCTACATTTGGAGCAGTTGATTATTTCTGTTGGCGCTTCGGGTAATTTCGCTGTCGGTTTTTCCACGGTTCCGCTTTTTTTCCGGTTCGTGACGTCACGAGCTCTGGCAACTCATCTTATTGTTAGTCATCTATTGCCAGGTATGGGAATATTATATTCCGAATGACATAGTCGAAACCCGATCAGATACTATTCGTTTTTTCTAAAGCCGCTCCCGTTTAATTTCAAACACCCAAGCGGATTCTATTCTGTCCGGTGTGCTTTAAATTAGCTTGATTTGAGCCGGGTTATTCTTTCGTATCATTAGTTATTGTGCCAGACAATTGTATACGAATAAGAGAACTGAATCGCAAAAATTAACGACTTTGACGCAAATGACTCAATCGACAGATACGTGATACCTGTAAATATGAGTTCTATCGCCACCCCGTCAGTAATTTTGCAGGAAACAACGAAAATGTTATCGCTGCTCTAGGTAGATATGTAGGTTAAGTAGAAACGACCATTTTCAGTCAACGCAGTCGGTAGAAGTACTGTTGCAAGTGGTTTTATGTAACGCAGATGGATGATACTAAAAGACTCGCAACAAACAAAAACTGATGAGAAATGACTTTAATCAACTAAAAATCCAATGAGAAGAGCCCCCTTTTGGCAGCGTCGCAGCGCTTATAATATGCTATAAGTTTGAATTAACACCGGGAACAGCTGGTTGAAGCAGCATATATTTATAGATGCAAAACAGTAATAAAAACTAAGTGTGTCAACAGAAAATTAGCATATAATGATTAACCATATGTAACTAGCGCTTAATATGCAATTGTTTAAGGTGACAAATAACTATTAAAGCGGCAATATTAATAACTTCAGTCGATCGATAACGCTTCGCTGATCATGTAGTCATTCGGCTTATATAGCTTTACCGTTAACGTAAACGAATTAAAACGATTAATATATAATAAATATTTAAAAACTCCACAAGTGCCAGACGTATCTGTCTGTAAAACCATAATTAAAAATAATTTATAATCTTTAATTTTAAATAAAACCAAAGATAAAAAAACCAAATAAAATCAAATAAATAGAACCAAATAAAATGAAACCAAAGACTGTTTAAAGCCAGGTAAAGAGACAATATTAATTTGTAGATCAGCATTCACGGTCGCGCAATTCGCGCATTCAGTTCCTTTAGGGCACGGCCGTATGTCCGCGTAAAAGCGGTAATGGTAGGCAAGCTTCCTGTACAGACAAATGTAAAAACTTTTGATGAACGTTCACTATGGTACGGGGAGTACTTCTGTTGTGTATGAAAAGGTTTGGCATAGTTCATTAAACAGCATTCAACATGGTCTAAAATTGTTTCAAATAAATACAATCTTTTAATTAGCAATGTCATTATGTATTTGTACCAGAATACTTGTATCCTGATGTCAGGTTGACAGTTCTTTTTGACATGATGCAGAGCTGCCAAATCTTACTTTGTGTCGTGTATGCCGGTATACGTATACGGGATATTATTGTATATGGCGACACCGTAAAAATTATTACTGTCAAGGCTACGTCACAGCAAAGAAAAAATCCACCATAAATTGCGAGTTGATACTTTATATATTATAATATTTGGAACAATTTTATGTATTTTACAGCCTGCTGAATCACCGAAAGTTATGTAAAATGTTTGAATAAAGATGGTATTTTTTCAAAAACAGAATATTTACTGTACAGGCAAGTAATTTCACTTACTATTTGCAATGTACGCATACAAATAGATAAAACTTAAAGGTATTTGTAGTACGGCCGCTAGTGTGACTGGATTCTGTGTAGCAGCCGGTCGTATATTTTATGTCCCTGATTCTGACAGTTCGTTCCAGGTTAAGATTTTAGACTACTACTAGAGTAGATTATTTGGATGTTAGTAAAATTTTGTCGTAGGAATCAAGGAACCTTGCTGTCGTAGTAAAACCGCAGGCCTGTAGCAGTGGGACGAAACAGCTAGCTGTTCCCTTATGTAGCCGTACGAAAAGCAGCGCGCATAAATTCCGTATAAAAAGACCGTATAAATTTACCAAAGTGCGCCAGGTTTTCTTTATTATTGCGTTTTCTTAGAAGGAATTCACACAGAATCTTTCTGGAATGGTAGCATTTGTGTTGCATAAATGAATTTTCGGCGCTGATTCAAGTTGTTGGTAGAAGATAGACTAAGATTCTGCGCAATTAAGTTACGGTTGTGAGCGGAGAAGCGGCTCACGTACAGCGATAAAGTCTTTCAAAGGATTTCAACGTATTGCGCCGTGGTGCAGTGGTACTGCCTACGCGGATCTAACGACGTAGCCGGGGTTCGATTCCCCCATCGGCGCCTTTTTCAGCCGTTTCTCGGTTTCCCTCGGATTGCGCCCTGCTTAGACGGTCATTCTAATGTGTATGTATGCATTAAAAAAGTCAGCCACATTATTATTAAATATTAAATTATTATTAGAAAATCATTTTGTGGAGCATGGAATTTCATTAAGGATATGGCGCGCACCATGTTTTTATACCCATAAGGTCACACCGAATTTTGTGGAACCTTTTTTCACGTTTACTGCTACGAAAGTTGGCTTACCAGAAGAGGCGATTTGGCACCATTTGTACAGCACCTGAGCTGTCACCAGAATTGTCCGGAGGGACTCTTGCTCTTGTGCCGTTTTTTTTATAATCTCCAATGTCGTTTTGGGGACTGAGGGCCGTGATATCGGTCGCGCCTCCCCATGGCCATTGTTCCACTGAGCCATTACCGGGGTGACACTTTCCGTATGCATGCTCACAATTGTTTCAGCTGGTTGGTCAAAGAGAAAAAAGACAAAATCGTGATTCCGTGAACAATGAATAGAATACAGAGTATAGCAGGGCAGGTCTCAATAAAGGCAATATCAGTGGCTCGTTACGTCATCACTAGAATAGCTCGCATATTAGCCCGGCTCTAGTAAAAGGATGCGGAAAATTGGTTTTCTCACTTTTTCTATTTCTGCTGAATGGGATTCGAACTGCAAAATATGCGTACTAACTTTCTCTATTTTTATAAATAAAAAAACCCTAAAACATGTAACATGCTTGACTTCAAATCAATTTCCCACTATTTTTTAATATTTTCCACATACGAATGCAGAGTGGCACTGTGTGTAAATGTTCATATTAAATCATCGATGCGTGATTATACCTCGGTATTCTCCAAGTAAATTAGCATAAATTAATTATTTAATTTTGCATGTTGTTCAGTTTCATCTGCTTAATTTTTTTAACAGATTTTGAAATGTTTGGTTGGAATAAATCAATAAAACCAACTCGTGCAATAATAATAAAACCAACTCGTGCAATAATTCTGCCGTATAGAAGTACCCGTAAAAACCAAGTTGCCAACAGCCGCTTTTGCGACTTGCCGCACAGTTCTAAATCATGTACCTCTTCTTATTGCATATTTTATATATCAAAAAAATTCCAACTGAGAACTGAGTATTCCAAAATAAAAGAGTGCAAACGACTAAAGATACACAAATAAGTTTTGAAAAACTTGAAAATCTCTGACTTTTACATTGTTCTTCGGCAATCTGCGCTACTCTAGCGCTTTCGTCATTGCAAATCCCGCCCCCAGTGGGGTTGCCTGTACTGAAATCCGCCTTACAAGTTAAGTATGACCAACAAAGACGCTTACCAGGTGTCGCTTCACGCGTCGCACATACAAAATAATGGTAAGTGTCATCAACCATTAAAGCGAATTCCGGGTCAGCCATTGCAATATCAATTATCATAATCAGCTGATTAGTGGTAGATCCAGAATTTCGCCATCGCCGTATGCAATAATCGATAAACCGTTGAAAAGCCGGCGCTAGAAGGTTGGCAAAAAATGCCGTACACAGCGGCAGAACGACAAAGGTCAAGATAAAATAACCAGTGGAAGATGTTTCGTCAAGTCGCTGTTCGATCGCAAGGAGCTTTGCATTACAAGTGGATAAATTGCTTTGAACTCGTAACAATTCTACTACAACTCGGGCGTGCACACTGCTGAGCTCGTTATAGTCATAAACAAGGCGTTCGGGGGTCACTTGACTCATTCTTCGTCTTCACATGAATTTGATGGCTATATAATTTCCAAACTGAGTACTAAAATCGGCTGACACAGTGCGAATATTGGACTGACCTTTCACGTATCATATCTGGAATAAGCGGGCGAACTGTCAGCTCTGCTGTCACTACCTGCGGTAAGGCAGGCAGCTATTACTCATAGTCGAAAACGCTGGCATGTACTGTATGTGCAAGAGCATGTTACATCTCAAGAGTGTGGTGTGTGTAAGTCAGGTTGTATATATGCATAATGCACTAAATCAATGATCAGTGCATATAATTACTTGTGCCATTCATAACTAAATATAGAGAACAGTCGATCCTTCCAATGGTATTGAGAGGTTTTTGGGTTATCGAATGCCGGAAACCGTTTTTATCGAAGCAACCTTGAGCTGTGTACTTCCGTTACCGTCGTGCTTAAACAAGAGATTTCTGTCTTTACCGTTTCGCAAGCGATTTCCTAAGCGTGGTCCGTTGTGGCCGTGACAATTATATCTCGGCGAACGCCGCCTCTTTGGGTCTTTTTACCTTGATAAACGCACAAAAACTCGATCGGGATGTAATCTTTGGACTTGCAGTAAAAAAATCTACTGTACGGTTACTGCTAGTACGGTACGGTAGGAAAGTACACTCGCTTTTGGCGGGCACTGCATGGCTGAAGCATAGTAGGAATATAGTAAGAGAAACAATTTATATTTAGGCCGTTGCCGGTGCAGGGTGCTTATATGATGTTTACAATTATTATCATACCTACAGTATTTATTATCATACCTATGTATTTACAGTATTTATTATCATACCTATGTATTTACAACACTTTTAGAGTACTTTATCTTCTGCAGAGTAGCAGCAAATAATAGTAAAATGGATGTTGCAGCAAACATCTTACACAGGTACAATAAAAAAAGAATAGCAAAAATCCATAACCGGGAAAACCGCCCAGACAGGTTAACATTTTGTTGTTCCCAGAACTGCGTAAATTTTGCCCGGTCAGTTTCCTTAACTGTGGCAGCATTGTTCTTCATACCGGACTCACTTTTCGAATCTCAGACAGTTAATGAGTTCCCTAAAGCCAGACAAACATGGCCACGTTGCTGTAATAAGGCTTCTCGTTTCAGAGATAATTTTTACCTGAAGTAATTTTTCTATTATAAGGATTATTTTTTTCGATGGATATTTTATTCGTCTTGGTAATGCATTGTCCATGCTGGCGGCAGTTTAGGTGTTTATATGAAAAGGTAACGGATTAATTCAAAAATCACGATTACCGTGAATAATTCTCATTTCAGTTCACCCTTGCCAAAGGCTGCCTCTTTGAGGGTCACTCAATAGTTTTTGAAGGTCATTTCTTGCGGCCACTGTCGCAAATTTTAGAAAACCAAGAAGGCTACATATTTGGGTCAAATACGACGGTTGTTTTACTGAGCCAGAGGATGGCTGTGCCGGTAACAAATAGAGGCGGCAATGTTTGACAAAAGTTTTAAAATTATCTATCACAAAAACGGCAACGGTATAATTTTAGCTGCTTTTATTTCGCCATACATTACAGTACATCGGACATCGAGTTCGTGTGACGTCTTCCGCACCAGATCAGGTAGTGCTTTATCATCGAGCGACTTAAATAATCCAAAGTATATTTAGCAAAATATCTGCATTGTCACTGACAATGCTTACAGTTAGTAAAGAAAGCACGAGAACCAAAGGGCATCGGTACCAAAGAAATAACACCACGGCTATCACAAGCTCTGAGTCTATATATAAACGGCCACTGCGCCCTTTCCATTTTGTAACGACGGACGGATACCACCAAGAACATGGGGTGTGAGTACATACGGCCACCCACGGAGCAGATGTGCATCCGGTAACAAATACCATATGTCCATATGTGCATTTTGGTGACGGTGACCGACGCACAGACACCACATTTTTCATGTGGTCGGAGTATATACGGCCACCGTGCTTGTGTGCATTTGGTAACAAATACCACCGTGCAGATTTGCATTTGGTGGGGATGACCGAAGCACAAACATCCCAAGTTCAGTATGTAACGGGAGTATAAACGGCCACTGTACCCATTCGTTTTCATATGTGGTGACCGACGGACGGATACTACCAGTCACAAGGGCCGGGAGTATACACGGCCACGGCGCATTTGTGCATTTGAAAGCAATTGCGCACATGTGCGTTTAATAGCGGTGACCAACGGACGGACACCACATTTTCCGTAATCGAAGAACATAGAAGACCTTCGCTACGCTTCCGTCGAAAATGCAAAAACGAAAACAGAAATTGCAAATGGTAATTTTTTAAATAAATTTTACGCAACTGCCCGAACTTGGCCCGGTACCCCTGTACATGTAGTAGGACAAAATTAATGCAAATTCTCACTGCGCGAATCGACTAACTAGCAGCCACCGGAAGGATCTTCAACGCTACAGTAACTATTCGTAAGACTTTTGTAGTTCTTAAAAACTGACAATACACAATCTTTCACCCTTAAATACAAATCCTAAAACATGCGTCATAATGTGTTGAATGAATATAAACACGTAGGCACTCCCTCCCGAAGAACAGCCCTTCTGACCAAAAAAATTAAAATATTCCATGTGATTTGACATGGAATATATACCGCTAGACACCGCTTGCAAGAAAAGCGGATGCTTTACTATTTTGAAATTTCTTTCAACGCACTCGTATGCTCAGCGTACACAATCGGAAAAGCGAAAGCAAACGAAGATTGCTAAAACTCTGTATCAACTTGATTAATTCTACAACTACACTTCAGTTACACAGCGTTTGAAATGACACCGAGTAAATGGCCGCTCTTAATGACCTTTACCTAACTTTCTTAGCTAGAGCTTGGTGCAAGACTTGCATATCAAAAACTTCCTTCCCTTAAGAGCATAAAAAAGGCATACCAGTTCTTGATTCGTTCTAATTCTGCGTAAAAGCAATATTTGCAACTTTCCGAGAGTTCGACTCCTTTTTCGGGTGGTATTTCGAATATATAGACTGGTATGTTTAGAGCGCGTACACAGTGTGCGGAATTATGCCGACTATGAGTTTACAATGCAATATTTTGCAGTCGAACGACAATTTTGAGAAAAGCTTTGGTTTATGAAACAATTTCACCGCATGCACGAAACTATATACTGGGCAATATTCAGGAATCAATATAGCCTCCGGTTTTTGACCCTCTCATATCTTAAAATCTCTTCAAAACTTGTGAATCTGTTGGATATTTGAATACTTCTTGAATTTAGTAGTCTTTGAATTCAAAAATTTTTTTGAATTTACAATTGACTACCGTGCAATTCCCATTTTGTTTTTCTCAAATCAAATTAACTCGAAAAATGCACGTGGGCGGGCATTGACAGACCAGACTGAAGCGAAATTGCGTTTGCTTTATATTCGCAGAGTTGGTTTGGAAAGAATACTGCTTGATCTTCATTTCATTAGTCGCAAGAAGGTCTTTTTGTTGCTTTTAATTAAGGGTATAACGAAAGCGGAAGGAGCTGTATTGCCAGTCCGGACCACGATTCTGCTGGTTTTGTTGACCACAGAAAATGACTGGTGAGCCGGATGAAAATCCTTTAGTCAGCCATTATTTTTGTAATCTAAGTCTATTAGTGCAAGTTCTAACTGCCGGTTTTTATAGGTTGTACTTTAAGTATACGTTCTTTGTGAACCGTACGTAAAAGTCCAAAATCGGGTACCAAGGAAACTATTTTTGTTTAAGTCTTTGTTCACTTAGACGCTATACGTTCATTTTCTTTGTAGGGCAAAACTGGAAGCCTTTTTATGAAAATGACAGGGTGTGGCTATTCCCACCACCTTGCTGCCCTTTTCGGCTATTTTAACCAACTCTCACCATCTTTAGGCTGTCACCACTAAGAACCTTTTAAAGTGAATTCTAACGCCACCTTTCGGCTATTGTCACCGCATTCACACACCTCTTTTGATAATTCCCACCTCTTCGTTGCATTTTATTTACAGCCGCAAACGTCGGAAGGCTGGTGACACATTTCTCGATGGTTGCATCATTTGTACCCCATGTAGTCCAGCATTTCTTTCGTCAACATTAATGCTCAGTTTTGCACTACAACATATTGTTTTTGGCGTAGTTAAGTTTAGTTAATTCATTTCGGAGACAAACCCTCGAGGCACTCCCAAGTCTGGTCAACAGAAAAGTTAAATGAGTATTTTAGATTCAAGCAGACACAGATGTACTTTCAAAAACACAAATGAAATGTTCATTGCCATTACTTTTTCCGCCGCCAGTTATTTTATCAAACAAAAATTTCAGCCTCATCTTTAGGGTACTCTTTCCAATGCGTGACCTTGCGGCGGTGCCGATACGCTTCTCCCGGCGGCGGACAAACCCAGTACGCCCTGCGTTGTACCGGGCGTTGGTCTTTTTGAAAGGTATCAGCTCACAAATGTAGGCCGGCAATTTAAAGCTTTCCGGATTGCGTATCTTGTGCAGCCAGACTGCTTCCTTCTGGCGCCATCGATCGCCAGCCATTACCATGCTGCAGTAATACCCCGCCGTTTGTACAGACCCAGTTCTACCCGTTGTCTGTCATCGGTGATGGTCTTAGAAAGGTAGTAAAGCTGCATCTCGCCGTTTCATCAGCTCTGCCTGATTTCCCACGGACGCTGCCAGTGCCGACCAAGCCAGAGCACAGTAGTCTAGGTATGTATGGATGGACGAAAGTGTGATGAAGGGTGATTCGCTGGGAATTGCTGAGTTCGGATTTAACTCGCTTGCTACTGTACACTGCAGTACAGTGCATAATCCCGGATGGGATGCCGTAATAGCAACATCTGAAGGTCATCAGCGCTTATTATTATAACTTTTTATAACTCTTTCAATTCAAACACAACGTCAACGTAAATTCTAAAAACGATCGACTATCAAACTAGCGTCGCACTTCAGTTAGGAGCTCCAATCGTCACCCCGAACTTCTGTAAATGCGGCGAGTGGGTAGACGAGTTTGGTAGACATGGAATCGGTGCAAGCGATCCGCTGGACGACGGCCTAGGCACGCGATGGCATTGCAAAAGAGTTTGCTCGTTGCTTAACGACGGGTGGTTTTTCTGCCAGAATGGACGTAACATGTGTGGACACTCTAGCGGCATTAAACTGTACATTGACCGTACTGTCGTCAACGCCGGCGCCGCAGCGGAGCTGGCCGAAACGAAAAAGCTCACAAAGTACGCGTGGCTTCAGGCCTTCAGCCAAGATACAAGCCCGTCCAACAATTCTTTGACCGCTGTAAGCGGGAATTTAAAGAAACGTGGGCTTGAGCCATTTAATGTGCTTCGACACGTCACGCCACATGAGTCTGCGTATTCAACGTAAATAAGCAACAAATCTGCATGTGTTGCAGTTACTGTATCTGTGATATACATTTTAATGTTTAATATGATTAATTGTGATCTAATATATTATTGTTGGTTAAATATTGATAAATATATCTGCCACTACACTACGATGCGTATTTGCATTACTGTGCGCGATTTATATGCGCTGCGCTTACAGCGGTCAAAGAATTGTTGGACGGGCTTGTATAACTTTATGCCCGCTGCTTTCGAAATGTATGGACCTTGGAGTGACGGTACTAAGAAGCTGGTCGACAAAGCAGGACACCTTATCGCAGGCGCTACAGGACAACCACGCGCGAAAGATTTCTTAACCAGCAGCGGATTTCCATCCAGATCCAAAGAGGGGCAACACTATGTGCGTGATGGGCACAATACAGGATCACGAAAAATTAGAGGAAATATTTTTATTATAGCCTCTTTTTTAGTGCTGTTCTTTCTGTTTTTTGATGCTGTTGTTAAGTACTGTATAATGTCGTGAGTACTTGCAGATGAGTACCTTGCAGTGAGTACCCTGCTATACTTCCGGTATGCTGTTCAACGAGGCACATACAAGTAGCACAAAATATTAGTAGTAGACAGTAGTACAACAATATTATACATTTTTAAAGAAACGTTTTGGTAATAAATTGAAGTAAAGTGTGCATGCGTAAAGACTAAGAGGTGGGAACAGCCGAAAGAGGGTGTCATAAAGGGGTGAGAACAGCCAAAGATGATGTCAAAAATTATTAAAAAAAAGGTAGTACGGACAGCACAACATGGTGAAAGGTGGTGACAGTAGCAAAACGTGGTGTCATTGTGGTGAGCCATTTCCTCTTACTAGTATTATTACATAATGCTCTCTTAATTAAATCGGGAATAAAATGAGTAATGTATAGCAACGGCAAGCAACTTGACAACCAACCATGACCAAGAAACCTATGGATCTGCATAAATCTTTCTACACTTAATTAGTATTTCATTCGATCTCACTCATTCGTATTCTGTACTTCGTACCACAGTCCATAGTAAATACCACAGATACGATTCTCGCCCGGATGGCGCCCCGTGGCGGCTGGAAGCCGTTAGCCCAAGCTACGTCCAGAAGTCATCGTAGGCGCGTAGAAACAAGTGCTCATCTCGGCACTTTTTAAACAGCGCGCGTTTGCAAACTATGCTGTTTGTTAGTGCGGCAGATACATGAAAATTAACAGCAAACTAAGCTCTACAAACGAGGCTACAAATGTGTGATGCAAATATTTACATTACTCCTAAATTAGGCGCCAGTGCTATGGCCGCCGCACTACAATACCGCCCATATTACAGCAGACGAACAGAAACAGGTCTAATGCGTAGTTCTCCTGTTGGCGCACCGTAAAATCCCTGTTGTTAGTGACGTCAAAATGACACACTGCCAGTCTGCAAGCCTGGCGAGAACCACGCGGGTACTGTATTTGTTTGCAATATTACAATGCAGATGTGTTGCGCGATAGGCCCTGCACACTTGTCGTATGCCTTGTATGAGATTTTGAAGATCGCTCCGCTCTCTTTATACAACTTGCTGGATGGCACGCAAAGCCTTTTTATGTAAACATTATGTTTTTGCAACATCGAAATCCTCACACTCACAGTATATCACTAATCTTCGCAATGCTTTAGATGACTTTTCTTTTATTCGAATTTGTGTTCAACTGTTGCTTTGCGCAGTTCTACACTGGGTTAGCACGTGTCCTGTTGCAGTACAAAGACGCACTTCTGCAAGATGTTCAATGGTTAACACAGCTACTGCAACAACAACGCTAACAGCTATCACGCCAGACTCAACGTCCGCCGAGAAAAGTCGTAATTGTAAGACCTGCCGCTACGTCTACGCTCTGTCCTACCCTGTCCGAGCCCCTGTCCCGCACCCGGACATTTCGCCGCACTCAAAACCGACGCGCGACTTTTCTTGCGACTTCCGCAGCAAATGAATTCGCCGCGCTTAGTTTTTAAAGGTTTTTCAGTTTTTATCTAAACTTTTCTCAGATTTTAAGTCTTCCTAGATTTCTAAGGCATTTTACTTAGGTCCTTTCTTAGGTTTTCTTTGGTTTCTTAGATTTTTTGTTTTTTTTTGTTTCTTGAGTGTTCTGGTACGCCTAGTTTTTGTACAACTGATTGTCGAAATATCTCTCCGCTGAAACATCCTCGCAACGATATGTCTGTGCGCCGAAACGACCTTGCGACGAAATGTCTGCCGGTGTGATATCCTCCCACCTACATGTCGCGCTACGAGATGACCTTGCGGCGAAATGTCTGTGGCCTAATGTCTTGCGACTAGTTATCCTCGGCGTAATGTCGCCTTGCCAAAACTGCTTGAGTAGTTCAACAAACAAAAACATTTTAAGCATTGTTATGATTGTTCTAAATCATTCGTTGAGCCTTTGAACGGCACGCGAATTAAACGCCAACCGCGCATAGAATTAAATGTGCGAGTACCGTAATTTATGTACTCGTGCGTTTTTAGTGGATGATATCATTAAAGAGTCCTGGAGCACTCTAAAAGACGACAGGATCACATTGAATTTTTCTCACATGGATCAAAACGCAACAATTTTAGATCCATATCCTGGTAATCTAGTGTACCAGCCCAGAGCGGGGGAAAGTCTCATTCTGACTTGTGAGGCATCCACAGAAAATACGCACGGTGTGTCTTGGAGTCATCTCGACCGAGTGATATTCGACAAAGGGAGACGCGTCGTTGATGACGGGGTCGATAATCAGTTCTATAACGTAACTCACTGGGGTCAAGTTGGGATTTTTGCTATTGTCCGTGTGTCTCTACAGTCGGAAGGAGAAGTTGTATGCTGGGAAGAATCAACCCGCTTTGGATACAAGCAAATTGTTTCGTTAAAACGCTTCAGTATTAAACCGCAGATTACCCGAGCAGTGGAAGTATTTGCTCAGTCCATGCCACAGCAATCAGTAATGGAAGGTGACATTGTCTCTTTCTCATGCGCAATTCGGCTCCCCTTACCGCAACGCACCATCGACAATCTGGCCAACTGCATCATGTGGCGTTTAAATGGCGAAACAAGATGGGCTCCTACAGAGGAGCCGTATTGGTCGCATTTTGCACGTAGCAAGCGCGCTTGGGCATTTAGTGGAAAACCATATTATTTCCATAATATTACAAACGTTTTTGGCCGAAAAATTGTGTACCAGATGGACTTCCATTTCTTAACACCTAGAAGAAGCGGCAACGTTGAATGTTGGTTCAGACCCCATGGTACCACTCATGACTGGATTATGCAGTCCACTACATTGACGGTGAATTCGCGAAGTTAACGCCTGTCGGTTGGCGCACGGAGGATGCGTTGCGGGCTGGACCGCTTGCATGATTGACCAGTGTCCAGTCGAGGAAGGCCATTATGGCGTAACGATACGGATGGGATGCATTTGCCGGTGTCTTGGGAAGCCATGTTGTGGGTTGTGCAGCCGGGACCCTTCCTGATTGTGAAGTAGTTTGGGTATATTTAACTTGTATTGCTGGATATTAATTGTAAATGAAATTATGATAGTGTGAAAGTTTTATTATCGTTTGACATTTCTAGTATTTTTATTTTCAATCTACTACGTACTGTTCGTTTGCGGTAAATTGATACAAAATTTCCAGTACGGAGCACCACGTTTTGCATAGCTTGCTATTCATTACTTGTAACGTGAAGTAGTTGATTTGCTAGCAAGTACAGAGATTATTCCCAAGCAGATTTTTAACCGCTTTTTGTCGCCATTTTAAGGCATCTACAACATACCGGTAATATAAAATTAAATGTGCTTAATTTTGCCGGGCAATCGATAGACAACGGAAGTTACAGTCTTACAGGAATACAGTTACTGAAAAAAAACGGATTGAGTTCGCAAATTACTACGCACGTGCTATGTAAACTTTACCCTTCATAAAACAATTTGTACAATGTCAGAACATTTTTCATGAAGGCTCAGAAAACTGATATTTTTTGGTAGGAAGTGCATCTTTTGAAGAGCACATGCGGCACGTACTGGCACTTGTAAATTGCCTATGAACTGCATTCTTCCTGCTGACTGCGGCATTTCCCATAAAGAAGTCATACGTCTTCAGTTTGTGGAAACTGGAGAGTAATAACACGGGCAACCGTTGCTTATGATGCAACCGTAATGTCATCTCTGCTTTCTCAAGCCCGGATGATATTGTCGTGTATTTTTAAAGAATATTAAACTATCCAAAACAATATGTATACCGGGATTTCGATTGTGGACCGACTGAGGATACTTGTCGTTGTCACAATGGGATGTTATGTTTTATCACTCAGTGGCGCTTTTGGCTTTCCTTCCGTCTTGCGATCAAAGGTCAGGCAGCGGAGCGCCAACATGTCTTTCTATTTTGTCGCAAAATTGCGTTACTTTCGCTAGCTGAACACAAAAATTGAGCTTTTTTGGCATACATGTTTTGGAAGGGAAATTAAGCGTTATGTGCGACAGCTGCTGTTGTAGGATAACCTGAACTTACCCTTAAATGAGATGCTCAGTTTGGGTTATGATGAGGAAATCTTTTTATTTAATTCTTACAGATAAACAACAGAAAGTATGATGAGTCAGCGTAACGCATTGTTCTGTTTTTCATTTAACCGATTGGTGTTACTTTTTTGTTACTGAATGCAAATTTTAGAAGGACCTCGAAGAAGTAGTGCCTTATCTGGATGATTTATTGAAAGCCAACGGTAAGATTTTCGCAGTTTTAGTACGAGAATTAATTGTATCTGTACTGCAAATATCAACGATCGTCTTTCGTGGTACAAATATTTATTATTGTATGCACACAAATCATATACACACCAGTATCTAATAAACTTGTTTATGGAATATAGTGATAGTTGCATAAATCTGAAATATGCAGTTCACTGCTTTATTTTTTACCTACGCAGCTGCGCTCGCTCCGTGTCTAAAACATTTCACCTTTTGTTACGCTGACAGATTTGCGCGCTTTACTGCGCCAGAAACGGGATGGCTATGGAGCTTCCGTAGGCATCAGTGGTTACGGAGCTTCCGTAGGGAGCCGTGAGGGTGGAGCGTACGCCGCCGGAATGTCACCGACGATGATTGCTATGCTAATCAATGCTATCAACCAAGCCCGTTAGTATTACACATGACCTTTCACACGGCTAAATTTTAGACAACGAAAAAATGTTGATATCAGAGTGGTTTTGTTACAGTTGCTCAGTCAGCTACTACTCCCGCAGCTTCAGGTACGATCATACGTTCCATGCACCATATGCAACTTTAGAAGAAATCGAATTATGTATTTCTTGATTAGGCGGTGGGGATAATCCGCCACCTGCAAGCGCTAATTCCGGTGCATCTCCGAACACAGCAGCATTAAGTACGTTGAAATATATGGACATTCTGTGGGTAGTTGCCACTGTGTTTGATGTTTTTCGTTTTGGTTTATGTTGGATGCAGTCAACAGTTTACTTCCACGTAAGTCTCGGCGAATTTTTGTTACTCAAAACGTGGTTGAAATGGACGGAAGTTGTAACCGTTAACGTTGTTGCAGTTTTGATGAATCCTTACGGTGGAAGTCCGTATGGGGGATATCCCATTCGCGGTGGTGATAACGATGACGATCCCAATGCGTTTCTACATTCCGCCGACATAGTCCGATCTATGGCACAATAAAGCTAGCACAGCTGGCATAACGTGATCTAACAATTGTAAGCGGTAGGTGCATGTAAGATCAAGTAGTACTTTCTTACCAGTAGTAAAGTACGCGTTGTATGATTTCACTACATATTGTAATGATAACAATAAAAAAATAATTAATATATTAAGTAATTTATAATGATTTGTATTTGTATAATCCTGTGCACTAATAATCCTGCGTATAATCCTGTGTATATGTATCCTGTGCACTAATGATGTGTATGCGGTAGTAGTGAATTAAATTTAATAAGAATTACCCGATATTAACGTAAATGTGGGGCGCGGAGTTGGTATTGTTGGTATCGTAATATCATTAGCATGCAATAATTTTATGTTGGTTTAGATTTTAATTTTGTAAACGCCTTAATTATTACTACCGTAAACAAGTAGAACCTTTATAACAGAATTAATGCTGTTGTGGCGCAAAGTAAGCGAAACGGTAAAATTGCTGTAATACATACAGCTTGCAAGAACTTGTGCAAAAAACGTTTTGTTTATATATGACTTACTTGCAAGACTGCGTCGTATTTTAAACCTCCGTTACGTTATCCAAAGACCTATGCAATAGAGACTACTGCATTTTTACCTTACCTTTACCGGGTGCTTAATTTAATGCCACGCATCGATTTTACTTTGCAGGAAGAGGATCCACACGAACGACTATAAAGTGATTTCAATTTTAATTTATACTTCAAGTTCAAGACGATGATGCGCCTTAAACTGCAACCACTTTTTATTTCGAGTTTCTTGTGGATCTGCTCTACATCTCCCTAATTTTAAATATTATTCTGGATTTTGCAAGTAAAGAAAACAGTATGGCTGCTCATGTAATTAGGTGTCGGGTGTTGAATTAGCGTGAGTAGAACAATCTGGGCTTTCTTGTAAAACCACAATAAACCAATGTGATGAATCAGGACACTTGTGCGGCGTACTTTAAGAAATGCGTCGTCACAGTCCTTCCGGAAAAGGAACAAAACAATAACTTAGTCAAAATTTTGACTTGTCAACAAATAACAATTTCGTGGTATAATGGTTCGTCTTTAGATTTCTGTTTACTTATTACATAAGCAGAAATATTCCCTACAGAAGCCGTACAATATTACATCACCCTCTCACGCTCTTTGCCCATATGATCGGCATTTGCACCACGAGTCCAAAGCAGCCGGTGCCGCTGGACACATGATCACAAGATAAAATTAACATATCATGTGTTCGCCGGTGAACGCCCCGAGCTTTCAGGATTATAACGTGGCAATGTGGTCATCTATGGAGGCGATGATTTAGCCCAAAGGATACGCAGGCATCTTCATAACTTCAAAAACAACGGTTTTATAGGTCAAGACTTTTAGGATTAACCGTGATACCCTACATTTCGTGCCACCCAACGCGCAAACATGTTTTTCTCGGTTGACATTTAAACCGCTGATCTATTTAAACCGTTCTCGGTCAAAACAAAAATTTGATAATAATATAAAGTCGGTATCGAAGAAAAATTAAAAATATTAAAAAACTGAAGAGAAGAATTAAAAGAATTAAGAAAACAAAAACAAAAAACAACAACAAACAAAAACAAGGAAAACAAGGAAAGTGTATTATGTATAATTCATGATGAACCCAAAGCTTAGATCACCTGTTAATTCTCGATGATGTCTTACGCAAATATAGCGCATGAAAGGTCACTGCTTTTTTCTCCAACCAAGTAACACATGTTGCTAATTAAAATTTGTATTCGATCTCGACTTGTTTATAATAACTTTTTCATTCCGATTTTATCAAATACGCTGATGTTTTTTTCATGACTTTGCCAACGTTATTCGCTGATCTTTGTAAAACACAAAATCAAGACGTTAAAAATAACGTCCAAAAGGACCAGCAGCAACTGCCTTTCTCAAAGGTCGTCAATTACAGCCCAGAAGAAAACTCTGCTGTAACACTTCGTACGTAATACGGGATATTTTTATATGTACATATATTATTAACGACCCAAATATAGTCAGATCTTTAAATAATGCGTTAGGAGCACGGAGAAGCGCCAGTTTTTCCAAGTGGGCAGAAAATGCAAAGCAAAACATTCCATTAACGCATTTCAAGGAAATCCCATTAAGCGCGACACACACACGACGTAGTAGCGTCGGCCGGTAGACGGCTGTGGGCGCGCGCGTATTTTTAACAGCTGGTTGGCGCGCCCATTAGAACAAGATGGGCCGTTTGGCGCACTGCTGTCCACATCCGTTGAAGATGCATTCCTCCCCCGCGGCGCAGTCCTGTGCCGAGCGGCACCATTCCGTGCATGCCGCACGGTGGCCTCGGTTCTGGACACGTTCCAGCAGGGCCAGGAGGTTGTGCTCCGGCCGGTGATCTCTTGCCCGGCGCCCTACAATAGATAAAAAACTGAATTTTAATACTACTAAATAACCACCAAAATATTAAAAAATGCTGGGCGGCTCTTTATACTTGTTGATTAATCAAAATTAAACGTTGGAAATAACCAGATTTGCTATCCTTTCAAGGGTTAAAAGGTGAAGTATTTATAATAACAAATTTATTTAACAGATACCAAGAATGTTAAACTCTGATTCTGCCTTTCATCCGAACCTGATTTTTTATTTAGTTGGTAAAACAGTGGCGTGCAGCGAAGACTAATTATAAGTAATGTACAGTACTTATTGTGAGGTTTTAGTTAGGCACAGTTTGTACAATACATACTGTAACATACGATCATGCAGTAGAAGTACATGTTATTCAACTATCTGTAATTTATAAAGATAGCTTTAAAATGCTCGGCACACGTACAATAGACTTGCAATCAGTTACTCCTAAATTATTTTTTGCAAAACTACAACTTGATTAGGAGTTTTTTGCAGGCGGTGGTAGCACACGTTGCATTATCACCAATGTTATGTGTACAGATATAATCCGCATCCGCGGTTGCAAATTTCACATGTACCAATTCTGCAATAGCAGTTAAAATTAATTTCGGTTGAAGAAATGTAAGAATGATAGGAAGTCCAAGGACTTAGGACTGATACAAGAAGTCCCGAACGCCCGAAGGCGGTAGCCGCATGTATTTCTTTGTAAGTAATACTAATTATAATGCGCTGTGTAATGTAGCATTGCACTTGTGTACTCATACTGAAACTGAAAAGAACACAGAAAACAGAATTATCGGAAACATCTAAGTGATTCACGGCATAAATGACAATTACAGTTATCTCACACGGAACAGACTTCCGTAAACAACTTAGTGACTTTCGGAACGTGTAAAGGTCAAGTCCTACAATTGCTACACACCTTCGCGTATACAGTACACCTCCATCGAATTGGCGCTGTATCGGTTTTCCGACACTTGCAAGCAGTCCTTATCGAACGATTCACAATCCAAACTCTGATCGGAACTGGACGGGAACACTATGACTCCCATCTGACAAGTCCATCCAGGGTCGCAGGCCACTTTCTAAGCACAAATGCACCGACGTTTCAAAGTAGCATCCCCGTTAATGTTTGCGATATTGGTATAGTTAGGTACAATTACACTGCAATTTGTTTCTTCCGCTAATATTCAGTCATTCGTTCAGTCGAGCGTCAAAAAAAAACAAAACGATTGTTAAACTTCAAACTGATAGAAATTTTATGAATTACAGTATTGAGCAAGATTTGCTCAAGATTTGCTCAAGATTTGTTAAGGTAAACGCACAAAAGTTTCCCACAACAGAAAGCACGCGTTACTGATCAACTGCAGCTGTTTAAAAATTATATATTAATTTTGTTTTAAATTTTCTTACTCTGAGCGTCACTTACGGTTGAGGTGCATGCTTTCTGTATTATCCTGTCTTCTTCGAGGGGAATCACACCTAAAATTTTCCATTAATTAGTACCATGTTTCTGTTAAGCGTTATGTTTCAAATGCACGTGCGTTTTGAAATAAAGTTATGTAAATAACTATGTAAACAGAAACATCATTGATCTGATAAAAGTAAAACATCTGAGGTAAATGTAAATGCGGGTGCAAATGCAAAAGCAAATGCAAAAGACAATTGATCGGTTATCGAAAGTCACTGGCACTGCGACGATGCCTTTATTGTTATGTCTTTCTGTTAAATTTGATTGCTTCTAATTTTTGGCTCTAAATCAACTTTCTGATAAGCAGCTCTTCTTCTGAAAAACGCACGATCGATTAAAGCTCCCATATCTGTGGCAGATGCCATACTCTTTACTCTTGCCGGTTTATTTTAACGTTACGAAACATTTTTCCTATGGCTAAAAGGAGACTACACGGGATATTCCTAACTGACCCCAATCAACACATGGTCGCTGCCGATTTCCCATGCAAAAACATCTATCTTTTCCTTACGGGGCGTTGGCAGGAATAAAGTTTTAGTACATATAAGTACTTAGTATACATACGAAATGATCAGTTACCCGTATTTAAGCAAATTATTTGGTTAACTACAAATAAATCGTACATATACGAAATTTAACAATACATGTGCAACACACAATAATTATATCAGTGGTTTGCGAGTAAACATTACCTGCTGAAATCGATGCAATAATCATAAATAGCACTGGTGATATAAAAATCAAACGGTACGGGAGATTCGGCACCTGCAGATCTACCATGATGAAGACGAGAATCAGCGATAATTTTTGTCCAAATATTCCGCTTAAGGAGTCCAAGAATTATCGCACAGCGTTATACAACAGTGATATTACATCAAATACCACTGTTCGCAGCCCACTGTTCGGCACAATTCCAAATACACAGTCACACAGAGCAACTAACGCTTCGACAGAACTTAAATTATAATCTGTTTCCGGTGGGGAAATAATGAATGCAGCTATTGTTGGGTGAAAAGAAAAATAAAAAAAATAATTGCGGGAGCGCTTAAATATCAACGTATTCGATGAATGAATGCAACGGTTTAGCTGGAGTGGGTAGAGTTATATCAGGAAGTCAGAAGTCTTGTGATACTCATAGAGAATTCGCAAAATAACATGGCTCGTGTAGACGTGTATGTCTTGTGAGGCTGGATCATTATACCGCGTACATGCACTTTTATCCAAGCGCACCAATCAAAAAACATTCTCTGCCGTTGATTATTATCGGAATAAGCTACAAAGTTCCCCGTGGGTTATTGACGTTCAAGTTCTACAAATTTTTCAGACAGAAAAGCGAATACTTAACAGTAAAAGGTTTGAAAACAAAGATAGCCAAAAGTTAACGTCTTTATTAACTTTTACTTAAGAACCCTTAATATGTCTGACAATTTCATTTTGCCATTCACAATATAATCCCTGTTATTCGTATTTAATACATATTCGCATACATCAATATGTGTTTAAAAAATATGTTTGAAACGTAAAACGCAGCATCGTTATTCAGATACGTGCGATGATGTGAATACGGTCTGTGCAGCACGTTGTGAATAGTCTCCGCAGTATTCATACAGGGCATACTTTAAAACATTTTTCGCACGTGTACGGTACAATTTCAACGTATGTATTGTAACACACCTTGATGCATCGCAGGCGTGTTGCATACCGGCATTTATTGATTGCTTTACATGGACAAACTTCGTTGCGCTAGTTCTGTTAACTCCGTAGTTCACAAATTTGCACATATCTCGTATACATAATCACTGGGAGCGCAAATCCCGTTACAACTATGGTAATAATTATTCATACTTCAACGAATGTTTTTGATGATCCGAATTTGAGGTTATAATTTTACTTGGTTTCTGGTGACCACCATGCCGTAGCAAGATTGGGACTTCTGTCCTTCTGTCACATTTGCAATGGACGATAGTATCGTCAAGAAGACTCAGCAACTTCTCGGGCCATTTGTCAAAGCCCCTGCTTTATCCGAGAAACTTCTACAGAAACCTCCGCTACGCTTCCTCCACGATGTGATGCTTGCCATTGCCAAAGATCATGGATATTTGACTGGGTTGTTTGACGAAGACGAAACGGCGTGGACGGAAGCGGTGGCTAACGATAAGGACGCTAAAGCCTTCTTCATCGCCAAAGTGCGTTATACAAACTATAATACGAGTATTATTCTAGTAGCACATATTGTATTCTGTATACATGTACTAATGACAGTACCATAAAAATAAATGCTGCAGGATGCCGCACTGGCAATTTGCTACTACTTATTGCTTACTACCGTAGTTATTGTTGCTTACTCGTATAGCCCTTCGGAATCATGATTATGCACCGTGTCGAATTTTATTGTACGTTGTAAAGTACTTACTCGTCTAATTCGTCTGCAGTTGAGTGCCTCTTATCACCTTTCAGTTTGCGTACAGTAATTCGTAAGTCAATCCTATACTATTGCAGATTATCAATTATGTGTCAACGGCTACCGGAAGTGAATTCGGTCTGAAACCGGCGCGTGTCTGTGCCGGTCAAGATGCGGAAAAAACCAACGCTCTCCTACAAAGTCTGGGCAAACTGCTTGCCTCAAAAAAGGTGGACAATGCTGCCGTGATACGGGAGATCCGCAAAGGCAAAGGAACGGTCGACCTCGGCACTTTCCCCAAGGGAGCCGCCTTCCTGAAGGTCGATGAAGGATCGAAGCCGGACAAAACCGACAAAGCTCCGGCGAAGTTGCCCAGTACACCCGTAAAACCGGCCGCGGCTAAGCAACCGGTGAAAGCTGTGGATAAAGCTCCGCTGCGAGCAGAAACTACAGATTCGGGAAAAAAGTCTGCAGATGACACGGTAGAAGTACCTGTACGGGCGAGGGAACCCATACCCGGTATAACACAAATTGTGAATTTTGGTAGGGAAAGTAAGATGCTTCATGAAGCCGGTTGTGATTTCAGAAGAAAAGGGGCCGGAACCGCGGGTAGTGACTATTCCGAAGGCATTACCTGTAGAAGTACCGGTCCAACTTCCGGCTAAAGATAGACCGGCCACGAAGGTCGAAAATCAGGGCGTCACGACGAAAAATGAAACATCCGTACAACAGAACAAGTACATAAGTAGAATTATAGCAACTATGTATTGTACATGTATAAATGTCAGTAAAACTGAAAAATCAAAAACCCAAGCGGATAACGGAAGAAGTATCAACAACACGGCTTATACATATGTACATGCATTTAATTATACAATATCTATACTATTACTGCTGTTGTATTTTTATACGACAGCCATCGTTTATTATACTGTACATACATTTGCATTTTGCACCAAACGAATGCGCTTGCTATGCGTACCATAGCAAGCGCATTCGTTGTGCGCAAATACGATGAACGATACACTTAAGTAGCATATCGTTCAACGCGAAATTCAAAACAGTTATATCTATATATTCTATCTAGCCAGCCGCGCCCAACCACCGCCGCCCGCCCAACCACCGCAGCGCGCCCAACCACGGCCAAACGGGCCCCGCAACGCCCGCCTACAGCAGCCAACCGCTCCCGTCGCACCTCGTTAGCGCCGAGCGAAGGCGAACTCCCTGAAGATGTCCCGCCGGCCAACATTAAATTTCTGGATGAGGAGACGGCAGACAACGAGCAGCTACTACAGGAACTGGCTGCCCCTGAGGTCATCATCTTCAGTCAGCTGGATGCAGGCTATCGCACAACCAACGGACACCAATCAGGTACTACCCAATGTGCTCGTAGTTCAATGAAGTGAAATAATTATAATTATACTGATACGATGCAGATTGCTTACTCTCTGATTTGTAAGCTTAAAATTTAAATTGATTCTCTATAGTAACAATACTTTGCAAACATTAAAAATACTTTAGCGGCTGGACATCTGGTTGCTAATCTGCGCGACGCACAAAAAGATTTTATTCAAACCACTGGAATCGAGGAAGACGAGGTATCAGTAATTTCTGTGAATTTAATAGCTCGCTGTGCGGTTTACCGGATTTATTTGCCCATCGATTCCGAGTTCTAAACGACGAAAAAACTGTGATGTGATATGCACTATCATCCATTTTGCGCTGTTTGCACCTCCATAACTGCGAGTACTCATAGATAATTCTGATTGTGAATACCATATAGCAAGGCACAGTATTATTGTGGTTAACAATTACTGTCTCCAGGGTGTCCTCAGCGCTGTTGCTCAACAGGAAGTGGGAAGATTTAAGACAGACATCGACGACGTGTGCAACACGTTGCAGAAGGTGTCGCGTCTAACCGATATTCTGGGTACTTATCTGGAGATCCTCCCGGAAGACTTTGAAGACATGGATAAGGATAGGCAACGATACTTGGAAGAACACCAAGCATTGCTACAGAAAATCGAAACAGCGTCCAAGTATGTTAGCAGTGAACATCCGGCATTTGTAATAACGCCAAGTAACTGCAGTTTATTGTGTCTGTGCACAGTTTTTTGTTATTTCCAGAGTTGAAGAACAGCAATTAGAAAAACTGCGACGGGAACTGGCGTTTCAAGAAGAAGCTTTGTTTGCTGTCGGGGAAGAAATAGCCTCTACACAGCATCGAATCAAAGAGAACAGTGGTCTACTAGAAAAACTTGTAAAACTGCGCAGTATGTGAGTTAGAAACTAGTTAAAAGCAATCGTATTTCGTTAAAACGGAAATAAGTTCGTGTAACTCGGTTTCGCCGCATTTAAGCAGCACATTTTGCATACGTTTTGCCGGGTGGCATTGTGTGCTGAAGCGTGCACTGGATGGACTTCTTTCGGTTTAGTTGTATGTGGTACTCAGAAATTCGGCGCTCCGACTAAAAGCCAAAACTACAGTAGTTAATCTAATACTTTTCGGCATAAAGGATACGTGTGTATCGGCATCTATAGCACCAAACAGCATGGCGTCATTTCCCGGTGATATAAGTAAGTACCAAAAAGCTGTACAGGATAGTAGATACCCCAAAATGTGCCATATTCAAAAAAAATTCCAGGGACACCAGCCCAGTGTACCGCCTGCTGCATGTGTAGTCCCAAGTGTGATACAAACTGCTGCGGCACACATTTACTAATGCATGCTGTTCGAAAGAGAAAACAAACATGCATTCTTCATACGGTTCACTTGCGATCGCGGCTTTTAGTTGGCCGGACATGAAGGGTCTTTCGGTCTCCAGCAGGGCCAACTTCCGCAATGAGGCACATGGTGCCATAGCAGTAATCTAACTCTGGTTGATTTCCGTGAAAAACAAACGCGGTCCTAGTGATGTTTCGTTGTGCCATTTCCGTAATCCACTGGATGCTCACACCTCCCATGCCCTCAAGGTCCGGGCTCCAATCCTCATCATCACAATCATCCCTGTCTTCACCATCACTATCGCCCTTGTCCTCATTAAGAAGAACAATCGCACCCTTTTCACGGGCTAATTCTTGAAAAACATATCCATCGACCCAACTGGACTCTTTAAACTGAATAACATGATCCGTTAAAACGGCGACGTTTTCCCGGTCGTCCTGAGTGTACACCTTCAGCTGGATGGGCAGCGACAGTTCCTTGCACACGCGGCGAATCATGGCATCGCTGCCCTTCAGATACTCCATCGTGGATCCAAACGGTTTTTTAAGATCAACGGCAATCGGATACTGATACTGCAGACCAAAACCAATCAGTCCGCCTTTCGGTAAGAAATCCGGCTCATCCAGCAACTTCGCCAAATCCAGCAGCTTCGCTAATTATAAAGCCTACTGAGGCACTATAATAACAGACTTCTGGTTTTTACTGACGGTGAGATTGACGATATAATAGTACAATCACAATTTCCTATAAAGTAAGAGATATTTGTATTTTTAAGCTACTGCTAGACCGTATATCGGTGTCCAAATCCAACTTATAATTGCCAGTTTCGTTACGCGCGCAACGTGAGTGCAAGTACTGTACCCAAGTGCCGTCGGCGATTCCGACAGGATGCGTTAGTGCTTACCGTAGACATTGAGCTTGTACAATTCCGCTTCGACATGTCTGTTATGCTCGTCTCCCGACAGCAGATCACTCTTTATCCGCCCCAACAAACCCGACCGTTCCGCGTCGAACTTCGTGGCGAACACGTCGACGTCCAGTTTACCAGCCCTACGGAAGGATTCGTCCAGAACAGCCTCTGTATTCCGTCCAAACTTGGCTGGATCACAGGCACGGGACAGATGCTCCAGTTCGTCCGTGCTGGCATTGTGCAGGGAGAGCTGTCTGCAGAAAGCGAGGATATTTGCCATAATATGCGTAGTAGTGTAATTACGCTGTAATACGAACATTGTATGTGGATTTTACCTGGCATTAGTGCCTCTACCGTAGTACAGAGTGAAGTCCTCGACAGGACGAGGATACACACCGAATGACACTGGAGAAGAACTGATGGAGTTCCGCAAAGCTCGGCCTGCTCTCAACGCTTTCAGCAGAGTTCGGGACCTTCGGGTCGACTGTGTTAGCAAGGGGTAAAACTTCTCCAACATTTTACAACAACATGTTGTTGTAAATTCATGACTTTCATGTACATGAAAGTCTTGAATTCTTTGAATCACTGATAGCTGAATCACTGAAATCAATCTTTGAATCACTGATAGCACTATGAAGTACTAATAACGGATCCCCGAAACTTTCAGTTTCTTGCGATAAGAGTGTAAAAATTATTCAAACAGTTTGAAAAATTATATGAAAACTGCTCCAACGCAAAATTTTCCCTGCGAACTTGCAGCTGTTACTACCGAAAATGCCCAGTGCCCGCGAGATGCGTGTAGTTAAAACTAGTCGCAAGTCACAGCCGTATTAGCTCCGCCCTAACCGGAACCGAAAGTACCGCAAACAGCTGTTTTCCGTATTAAACGGTATAACGCAGCAGAATGTCGGCGCGAAAATGATTGTGATCCGAGGTACTTGTGCTACGGGATACTCGTATTTGTGCAGGTAATTAAATACATTTAATCTAATTAACACATTTAGGTAATTGTAGTTTATTTTATTATTACTGTATTTTCACAAGTTTAAGGAACACGAAAATGCCCTAGGTCTGCTCGCAGCCACCCGGGGCCTGCAGTCACGTTCAATGCTGCTCACTGAGCTCTGAAATTAAAAATTGCAATTTTAATCATTTTTGGATTTTGCTGTTGCTCATTACGGGGCCCCATTTTATGTATTCAGTATTCTTTCATTTTCTGGATATCCAGTCAATAACAGGACAAAAAACTGAGCGCAAATTTAATTCCTAGAGAACCTGGAGTAATCCATCGGCACGGCCTCTGTTCAACCGCTTTCCACCTTGAAGTGACGGCCTAGCTGCAGTTAGAATCGCTGTACAAGTGCGGAATTTTGCTCGTGCTCGGTACCAGTTTACCCCGCACATAATCAGACAATCTTACCTTTTCAAAATCAGGAATCCGACCAAGGAAAAGACCTAACCCAAATGACTCAGCCAGAGCCTAACCGCGTCTGCAGAAATGCAGAGAAACGATGTTGCCCCTCACGGGCACCCCGTGCCAGGGGCACGCTCTGGCACACACGCCAGACTCACATTTCTGGGCCAATAAAGAAACTGGTTTTGCACATAATAAAATAATCAAAAGATATTTAGAAAAAAATAGTAAGTAACGTGATTCTGTGTGTAAGTGAGTTGTAAAATGGGGCCCCGTAATGAGCAACAGTAAAATTCAATTTTTAATTTCAGAGCTCAGTGAGCAGCATTGAACGTGACTGCAGGCTCCGGGTGGCTGCGAGCAGACCTAGGGCATTTTCGTGTTCCTTAAACTTGTGAAAATACAGTACTAGGCATGTACTGTACATGTAATTTTAATTTGAATACAACAGCGTCTATATCTATATTTGCGCATGTGTGCTTGTTGTGGTGTACGCGTATATTTTCAAACATAATAAAAATAATATCTGTGCTCATGAGCATTTCCTTGTCATCGTTGCAAGATAAAAAGAGCAAGCAGACTTTCAGTCTGCACTGCTCTACACTATACCAACTGCACTAACCTTGACCAGGCTCTCGTTGTTTTTCCCGCGGATGGATAGCGCCAGCGGAATCCATGTCTGCATTAGCCATTTAATCCGGTTGGCATGGTTGGCCGCCGTGGTCTTCACCGTCACAAAGACGAAATTCCCCGGCCAGTCGGCGAAATCCCCGGGGCACTGGCCCAGAGGAGCCACTCGCCTGGTCGCCGTCGCCCGCTGCCCGAGCACTTCTTCCACGAAGAAGCCAAACTGTACCGGCCCGAAGAACTGCCATGACACGGTAATGAAGAAACTAAACGCGATAATGCCTGCCACCAGCATATTTCCACCGCATAATTTATTACTCGGTAGCAGCAGTCAGCTCTTTGTTTTGCAGAAAAACAGAAATGAAACCTGTTCAGTAGCGTGCGCTCATTCCAGACACAGGTGCAGCAATTGCATGTCGATCGATCGCTGCAGACGTATGTTGTACCGTCAGACAGCTGTTTGTACCTATGTGCCATAATGGCCATTACGCAGCTCGCTGTATCTGTGATGGCTGTTGTTAAGGGAATTGACCGTGACCGGGTGCATGGCACCAAAATGCATAAAAATCCACGAAAAATTTCGTTTTCGCGCACCCCAAAAAAGCTTTGCGTTGATTTTTGGCATTGTATAGCCAAATGATTTTAATACGAACGTTGTCGTACCTGTACATTACCGTGAAAATCGTTCGTGTGCGCAAAATTCGGTTGAGGAGATAACGTTAATTCGAGACAACCGTTTTTATCCTAAATCATTACGAAGTTGATGGCTATTGTAATAGAATCCGTAAGTTAAAGTGAAAAATATCCCCTAGTGCGAGCGGTATTTTTCGATAAGAAAACTGCCAACGGAAGAGATAAGTATACCATGTTTTCGTAGCTGCGATATTATAATCTATTCGTGGAGGCCGTCTTGATTAACTGTTGCTGTGTCTGTAATTGAAGATTTTCTAGTAACTTACGTTAAAATGATCTTAAATGCTACATACATTAAAAGAAAGCGTAGCGGAAGACGCTCCTTTTTTTGCGGACACTGCATAATCGAAGCGTATATAGCGGCATACTCATAAAAATGACTTCATTCAACACTCGTCCAACCGCTTCTGTAATTCACGTTTCGTAGTTTGGTATGTTTAATATATATTATCTAAGTGGACCGACGTTCCAAAAAAGGAAATAATATAATTTGTTATAATAATATAGCGGTATTAGGTATTTATGATCTTACACTTAAGCACGCAACTGTAAGTCAGCACCGATCTTCCAAAAAACATTCATATAGATTCAGATCTATGGTATGGGAATATTATTATTATGGGAATATTGTAGATAGAGCCAGGTATGGGAACATTATATTCTAAATGACCGTAGTCGAAAGCCCGATCAGATACTCTTCGTTTCTTTTAAAACCGCTCCGTTTCAAACGCCCAAGCGGATTCTATTCTGGCCGGTCTGCTCTATAATTGCTTGATTTGAGCCCGGTTATTCTTTCGTATCATTACTTATTGTGCCAGACAATTTGATACCAATAAGAGAACTGAATCGCAAAAATTAACGACTTTGACGCAAATGACTCGACAGATACAGATACGTGACACCCGTAAATATGAGTACTTACTCTGTACTACCGCTACTCCATCAATAATATTGCAGGAAAGAACGAAAATGCTATCGCTGCGCTACTCGCAGGTAGATAGGTTAAGTAGAAACGACCATTTTCAGTCAACGTAATCGGTAGTGTTGCAAGTGGTCTTCTGTAACACAGATGGATGATACCAAGGACTCACAACAAACAAAAACTGATGAGAAATGACTTTAATCGACTAGAAATCCAATGAGAAGAGCGCCCACTTTTAGCAGCGTCGCAGCGCTGCTAATATGCTATAAGTTTGAATTAACACCGGGAACAGCTGGTTGAAGCAGAATATATTTATAAAGGCAAAACAATAGTAAAAACTAATCTTAATTATAGCGTTATATTAGACAATAAGGTGTGTCAACAGAAAATTAGCATATAATGATTAACCATAAGTAACTAGCGCTAAATATGCAATTGTTGATGGTGACAAATAAATATTAAGGCGGCGATATTAATAACTTCAGTCGATCTACTTTAGCGCTAACGCCTATGCAATTATAACGCTTCGATGGTCATGTAATTATTCGGCTTATATAGCTTTACCGTTAACATTAACGACATATATAATAAATATTTTAAAACTCCACAAGTGCCAGACGTATCTGTCTGTACTAAAACATAATTAGACAATAATTTATAAGCTTTAATTTTAAGATGAAACCAAAGACTGTTTATAGCCAGGGAAAGAGATGATATTACGAGTAATTTGTAGATCAGCACTCACGGTCGCGCAATTCGCGCATTCAGTTCCTTTAGAGCACGGCCGTATGCCCGCGTAAAAGCGGTAATGGTAGCCAAGCTTCCTGTACAAACAAATGTGAAAAGGTTTATTGAATGTTCATTATGGTGCGGGGAGTATTGTTTATGAAAAGGTTTAGCAAAGTTCATTAAACAGGGATCAACATGGTCTAAAATTGTATCAGATAAATACAATTTTTTAATTAGCAATGTCATTATGTATTTGTACCAAATACTTGTTCCATGATGGCAGGTTGACAATTCTTTTTGATATGATCATTATGATGCAGAGCCGCCAAATCTTACTTTGTGTTGTGGATACCGGTATACGTATACGGGATATTATTGTATATGGCGACATGGCGACCGTAAAAATTATTACTGTCAAGGCTACAGATATGTCACAGCAAAGAAAAAATCCACCATAAATTTTGAATTGGTAGCTGATATATATTAGCAACAATTTTATGTATTTTACAGCCTGCTCAATCACCGAAAGTTACTAGTATTTAAAATGTTTGAACAAAAGATGGTTTTTTCAAAACAGAATACTTACTATACAGGCAAGTAATTTCACTTACTACTCGTATTTGCACTTTACGCATACAAATAGATAAAACTTAAAGGTGTACGGTAGTACGGCTGCTAGCGTGACTGGATTCTGTGTAGCAGCCGGTCCCATATTTTATGTCCCTGATTCTGACAGTTCGTTCCAGGTTAAGATTTTAGACTACCGTACGACTACATCAAAGTAGAGTATTTGGATATTAGTAAAATTTTGTCGTAGGAGTCATGGAACCTTGTTGCTGTAGTAAAACCGTAGGCCTGTAGCAGTGGGACGAAACACTAGCTATTCGATTACACTGTAGTAGCCGTAAGAAAAGCAGCGCGCATAACTTCCGTATAAATTCACCGAAATGCGCAAACTTTTATTCTATTATTGTGTTTTCTCAGAAGAACACAGAGTCTTTCTGGAATGTTAGCATTTTGTGTTGCACAAATGAATTTTCGGCGTTGAATCAAGTTTGTTTTAGAAGAAAGACTAAGCTTTTGCGCAATTAAGTTACGGTCATTCTAATGTGTATGCATGCATTAAAAAAGTCAGCCAAGTAATCATTAAATTATTATTAGAAAATCATTTTGTGAAGCATGAAATTTTATTAAGGATAGGGGCGCACCATGTTTTTGTGCTCACAATGTCACACCGAATTTTGTGGAACCTCTTTTTACGTTTACCGCTACGAAAGTTGGCTTACCAGAAGAGGCGATTTGGCACCATTTGTATAGCACCTGGGCTGTCACCAGAATTGTCCGGAGGGACTCCTGCTCTTGTGCCGTTTTTTTTATAATGTCCAATGTCGTTTCGGGGACTGAGGGCCGTGATATCGGTCGCGCCTCCCCATAGCCATTGTTCCACTGAGCCATTACCGGTGTGACACTTTCCGTATGCATGCTCACAATTGTCTCAGCTGGTTGGTCAAAGAGAAAAAAGGAAGGCACAAAATCGTGATTCCGTGAACAATGAATAGAATACAGTATAGCAGGGCAGGTCTCAATACAGGCAACATCAGTGGCTCGTTACGTCATCACTAGAGCAGCTCGCATATTAAGCGCGGCTAATGCTGCGGAAAATCGATTTTCTGACTTTGTCTTAATATAACTGCAGAATATGTGTGTCAGAGCGGCATCCGCTCTCTATAGGATCGTTCGATAGAATATTTCAACACATTTTGTATGCTTTGCCGATAGCCTAGTGGTGCCTCTCTCGGCCTTAGAGTATGGAGGTTGTGGGTTCGATTCCCTCAATCGGCAGGTTTTTTGCGAGTGTCTGTGCGAGCCTAGCCCAGCCCTTTCATGTGTATTTAACTTCCTTTAGTTTCATAGATAAAAAAACCCTGAAATGTGTAACATGCATGACTCAAAATCAATTTTCCGATATTTTTTAATAATTTCCCCATACGAATGCAGTGTGTGCAGTTGTTCATATCAATATACATACCAATGCGTGATAAATCGCGGTATCCTCTATGTAATTACTTAATTAGTATCAGTTCATTATTTAATTTTTGCACGTTGTTCAGTTTCTTTATTTCATTTTCTTAATAGATTTTAAAATGTTCCGTTGGAATAAATCAATAAAACCAACTTGTGCAATGATAATTTTGCCGTAGAAACCAAAGTTGCCAACAGCCGCTTTTGCAACTTGCCGCACAGTACCAAATGATGTTATTCCACTGCATATTTTATAATATAAAAAATCTCAACTGCAATAAAAGAGGGAAAACTACTAAAGATAAACAAATCAGCACTGAAAAAATTGAAAAACTCAGCATTTTACATTGTTCGTCGGCAATCTGCGCTACTCCAGTGCTTTCATCATTGCTAATCCCGCCCCCAGTGGGGTTGCCTGTATTGAGATCTGCCTTGAGTAGGACCAACAAAGACGCTTGCTTACCAGGTGTCGCTTGACGCTTCGCACATACGAAATAATGGTAAGTGTCATCAACCATTAAAGCAAATTCCGGGTCAGTCATTGCTGTATCAATTATCATAATCAGCTGGTTGCTGGTCGCTCCACCAGAGTTTCGCTCCCGCCATCGCCGTATGCAATAATCGATACACCGTTGAAAAGCCGGCGCTAGAAGGTTGGCAAGAAATGCCGTACACAGCGGCAGAACGACAAAGGTCAAGATGAAATAACCAGTGGAAGGTGTTTCGTCAAGTCGCTGTTCGATGGCAACGAGCTTTGCATTACAAGTGGATAAATTGCTCTGAACCCGTAACAATTCTACAACAACTCGGGCGTACGCACTGCTGAGCTCGCTATAGTCATAAGCATGAAGGCGTTCGGGGGTCACTTGACTCATTCTTCGTCTTCAGATGAATTTGATGGCTAATTATAATTTCCAAACTGAGTACTAAAATCGGCTGACACAGAACGAATATTAGACTGACCTTTTAAGTATCATATCTGGAATAAGCGCGCGAACAAGCTCCACTGTCAATACCTGCGGTAAGGCAGCCAGTTGTTACTCATAGTCGAAAACGTTGGTATGTATGTGCAAGAGCATGCTACATCTCAAGAGTGTGGTGTACGGGAAAAGTCAGGTTGTATATATGCATAATGCAGAGTAAATCAATGATCAGTGCATATAATTACAATGTGCAATTCATGACTAAATATAGAGAACAGTCGATCCTTCCGGTGGTACTGGGAGGTTTTTAGGTTATCGAATGCCGGAAATCGTTTTTATCGAAGCAACCTTGAGCTGTGTACTTCCGTAACCGCCGTTGTGCTTAAACAAGAAATTTCTGTCTTTATCGTTTCTCAGCGATTTCCGTACGTAACGTGGTCTGTTGTGGCCGTGACAATTATATTTCGACAAATGCCGCCGCTTTGGCTCTGTTTACTTTGATGAATGCAAAAAAACTAGATCGGGGTGTAATCTCTGGATTTGAAGTAAAAAAATTTACTGTACGGTTATTGCCGTATTCGATACTACTACGGTTACTTACGGCACTTCCGTCAATACCAATTTCCACTAAGATTACGTACTGTTGTGCCATACAGTATGCCGTACAAGGCAGTTATACAGAATACTGTTAGGGGGCTCTACTCAACTATTGAATTTGCAATGGCGCACGTTTCCGTTGTGTTGTTTCCTAATTGCGGACAGCGTACAGCTTTATTCGGCCGCACTGCCGAATATTGTTCTTGTTGTGGTGGACGACCTGCGGCAGGACAGTTTTTGAACAGGAAAAAAGGTCACTCAAGTTGTTACAGTAAACGAGCCTGGACTGTTGGTTAGGGCAGGGCTGGAGCAATGTAAGTTTTCGTGGATATAGTAGGACACATGCAAATTTTTACTACGCGCAACTAGCAGCCACCGGAAGGATCTTCAAACTACAGTAACTATTAGTAGGGCTTTTGTAAGCCTTAAATACTGACAACACGCATTTTTTCACTCTTGAATACAAACCCTGAAATATGCGTCAAAATGTGTTGAGTGATAAACGCGTAGGCACTCCCTCTTGAAGAACACCCCTTCTGACCAAAAAATATCCCATGCGATTTGAGACGTTTGCGTATAATGATTGCGTTTGGGCCTCTATAAATAATTTTACATACAATTTTCCTATGTTTACGTGATAGTCTTGAAACTGAAGCGAATTCCTATATACGTTTGCAGGTGGATACTTTTACAGGTTTGCAAAGCAAAAATCTTGGTGTCGTGGAACGACGCGGAATACATGCCGCTGCAAAAAAGCGGATGCTTTCATATTTGAAATGGCTACCCGCGAGAGCTGCTTTCGACGAACTCGAATACTCAACGCACACAATCGGAAAGGTGAAAGCAAACGAAGATTGCCAAAACTCGTATTGCAACTTCACTAGTTTTACACTTCGGTTACGCAGCATATGAGATTGCAACTTCACTAGTTTTACACTTCGGTTACGCAGCATATGAGATGACACCGAATATGGCCGCTCTTAATGACCTTTACCTAACTTCCTTAGCTTCAGCTTGGTATAAGACTCGCATATCAAAAACTTTCTTCCCTTAAGAGCATAAAAAAAGGAATCCAATGCTAGACTTGCCGCTGCTGAAAACACTCGCAAAAAATCTGCCGATTGCGGAAATCGAACCCGCAAACTCTATATTCTAAGACCGAGAGAGACACCACTAAGCTATCGGCATAACTGCAGAATATCGTAAGATATTCTCAGGTACAGCCGGCAACCTAACGACAAGAACCACGCTCCTTACACCAGGTCTGTTGATTCGTTCTAATTCAACGTAAAAGCAATATTTGCAGCTTTCCGAGAACTCGACTCCTTTTTCGGGTGGTATTTCGAATATATGGACTAGTTACTAGTATGCTCACAGCGCGCACACGGTATGCGGAATTATGCCGACTATGAGTTTACAGTGCATTATTTTTTCAGTCGAACGACAAATTTGAGAACAGCTTTGGTTTATGGGACAATTTCACCGCATGCGCGAAACTGCTGTATATACTGGGCAATATTTAGCAATCAGTATGTTATAATTATGGCCACCCGTTTTCACAATGTATATTTTTATTATACACTTGTACAAGCCAATGCCATTTACATTCAAACTTGAAAATCCCAATAATTACAACAAGAAAAATAACTCTTCTAACTCTCGAACACCCGTCCGTCCCTAGGCCAGAAGCCGCGTTTCCGCGCTGAATTTCCACACTTATACGTTGCCACAAATACTGAACAGCGCGCGCTTCTCCTGTTTGATCTTTGATACGCCGGCCGACTTCATTGATGAACTGGCGGGTACTTTCGCCACAACTTCCCATAATTTCGAGAGCCACTGGCTGGAAAAAATGCCGATCAGTGAGTTCGGAATAGAGGTTTCGCTTCTGCACTTCCGCGTCTTCAGCAGCCGAACCCGCTGCTTCTGAACAGCCAGCTATATACGCCCGTTTTCACCCTTTGATATCTTTAAAACCTCTTCGAAACTTGTGAACCTGTTGCATATTTGAATACTACTTGAATTTAGTACTCTACTCTAGTATTTGAATTCGAATTTTGTTAAATTTACACGTTTGCTACCGTGCAGTTCCAATTTTGTTTTTCTCAAAACAAATTAACTGAAAAATGCACGTTGTCGTGCATTGACAGACCAGACTGAAGCGAATTTTCGTCTTGTTTTTGTATTCGTTTCGTACGAGTATTTGTATTCGCAGATCGAGTTCGTTTGGAAAGAACACTGCTTGATCTTCTTTTCATTTGTTGTGCAAGTCTTTGTTAATTGGTCACTTATTAGACGCTGTACATGCATTCTTCTTTTTAGGGCAAAAATGGAAGCCTTTTTACGAAAACGAACGGGGTGTGGCTATTGCCACCATCTATATTGCTATTGCACAGTTTTGCCCTATAACATTTTGTTTTAGGCTTACTTCGGAGTAGTTAAGTTCAAACAGACACATTAAATGTACTTTATCCAAACACTACCGAAATATTCATTGCCATTATATTTTCCGCCGCCAGTTACTTTATCAAACAAAAATTTCAGCCTCATCTTTAGGGTATAGTCTTTCCAATGCATGACCTAGCGGCGGTGTCGATACGCTTCTTCTGGCGGCGGACATACCCTGTACGCCCTACGTTGTACCGGACGTTGGTCTCCTTGAAGGGTATCAGCTCACAAATGTAGGCCGGCAATTTAAAGCTTTCCGGATTGCATAGCCTCACTGCTTCCTTCTGAGTTCTGGCGCCATCGATCGACTGCTTCGGTCATACCCCGACATTTGTACAGACCCGGTGTTACCCGTTCTCTGTCATCGCTGATGGTCCTTAAATTAAGCTGCATCTCGCCGCAGCAGCTCTCCCTGATTTCCCAAGGACGCTGCCAGTGCCGACCAAGCCAGAGCCACAGCACATGTTGGCGCTATGTGCGTGATGTGCACAATTCCGGATCACGAAAAATTAGAGAAAACATTTTTATAATATAGCCTCTTTTTTAGTGCTGTTCTTTCTGTTATTATTTTTGATGTTGTTGTTACTTATAATGTCGTGAGTACTTAAAGATGCTTGCTTACCTAGTATGCTACTCAACGACGCATATATTAAGTACAAGATCTATACTACGGGCGGCGCCCCATAGTTTTCAGATCTCCATAAGCAAAACGGTTTTTTAAAAAAACTGACAACGCCACTAGATCGGCCTTGGTCTAGAACTGGCTCACATGATTTTGTAACAGACTATGGCGAGGAGATCACGAGTGTGTGCTTTATTGACAAATAAAGGGGGGAACAATGCTGCGTATAGCAGGAAAGGCAAGAACCAAGGCACGTCTGGTCAAAACTAGCGTAAAGTGGTTGCTAAAAGTCTTGCGAGTTCTTCAAGGCGTTGAAGAAAGAAGTGCTGGCGGCAACCACGTGCTTGGTGCAGGCCAGACATCAGCTGTGTGATGCGCAGACTGGACTCGATCCAACGCGAGCGTATGAACGCTGATTGGTGCTGCGAGAGAGGGACGCGAGAGCAGTCCACTCAGTGTATGCGCTGCGTATATCCACTTCAGTGGATGAGTGCAGTGCAGCAGCACACATACGTACCAGTGAGAGAGGCGGTATACGGCATGCAAGTGAGTGCAAGTACGCCCTGTGTGGGCGGGGCACCACGCGCAGGCTGTTGCCTCTGACATGCCTCTTGGCGGGAATCCGAGCTCCTGCAAAGGATGCTCCGACTCGGTACCGCACCAGTACCGCACAACTCTCCGATTGGACCCATGTGGGGTCGCCGGTACGCGTCCTCGGGCAGCGGGAGCCCGGTGTCTGGTCGACCGTCCCATCTTCGCTTCCGAACCCGTGAGAGGAAGCCACTCACGGCCGAGGAATCCGGAAGTCGCTCGGGCGTTTCGTTGGACCGGTGATGCATCTGTTGGCTGGCTTCTTGCGTCTGTTGGCATCGGAGAACAATGTAAAAGAGAAATGTAATGAAAGTTTATGCAGCGCGAAAGAAAAGTATGAAATAAAGTTTCAATCACAATTCCAGTGAGCAAAAGGGGTT